ATTGATAGATTGAAAGATTGATAGATTGATAGGTTGATAGTAAGTTGATAGATATATTGATAAATTGATAGAAATAGGATCAGATAAGATTAGATCAGACTAGATCAGATCAGATAAGACTTGATAAGATTAGATTGGATTGGATTAGATTCCGTTTATCAATGTCTCAACTGCCCTTGCTTTAGACTATACAAATGTCATCGAATGTCTCTCCTTTGAGTGCAGAACTTCGCGGCGCCCTGTGGCTCTCTTAAGCCACACATAAAAGATGTGACCTCGGAATCTGAGCAGCACTGGATTTCGCTGTGAAAAATGCTCCTTTGACCATGAAAAAGTTGAAAAAGGTGTATTCATGTGTTCTAATGAGGAAAAACGGGATGCAACGGGGATATGATGGGGATGCATCACCAAAAATATCCAAGAATATGATATTTCCGTGTCGGAGAATGGGGCGTACACCCCGAATTTGTCTTCAAAAAATGGGAAAACCCATGATAAGCCATCAAATTTGGGGGGACCATGGGGGACCCAAGTTTCAGACAAACCCAAAAATCCGCGGCTTGAACTCCGCTACGGTTTCTGGGGTCTGCACGGGCAAGCCCAGCTCCGCCTCCTTCTCCGCCTGCAGACTGAACTCCTCGTTCAGGCAGGCGCACCACCTTGGGCTCAGAAAACTCATGTGAATGGTATCTAAAATATCTACCCGAAAATACTATAAAAAAATGTTCATATCATTCCATATCCATAAAACTCATAAGACTTAATCTTTGGAAACTTTCATGGCCGTTGGCCTAGCGACATCTCCACTGAGCTGCTGGCTTTTGGGATGGTGCACTTGGCATGAAGGGATTGCTGATATCAGCTGCATGGAGCACCACTTCCACCAGGAATTGACTTTGGGACTCTGAGGATTCGCCCCTCAGGTGCGGTGGCGCTTCCCAGAGGTCCCTGGGAAGGGGCCCAACTTGGAGTACTCAGATGCCAGTTGTCATAGAAACAGGCAGAAAGTAATGGGTCCCTGAGATCCAGACACTTCAAACTCCTTCAAAATGGTCACCTGTAAACGATCAGATCCGTCAGAGTCAGTCAGATCCTTCAAGGATTGCATCCATGTTTTTCGCACTGGCGAGGAAAAAGGCTGAGGCCAACGCATGCTGCCCATGATGTTTCATGTCAGTAGCAAGAATGCCTTGGAATGGCAGTAACTGTTCCACCAACCCAATCGCCTGCAATTTTCAGCTCAGGGTTGTTACGGACAAATAGGTTGGCACCTGCAATCATCCTCTTTCGAATGAGGTTGTAGTTTCCCTGATCAAGGTCCTCAGTCCAAGTGAGTGTCACATCACACCGGATCTTCTCTCTGCTTTCACTGGCTGTGTTGATGCATCGAACGTAGATTGGCAATAGCACGTAGAAAAATGGGACAACTGCGACATTTCCTACAATCTGGCGGTTTTCTAAAGGACTCCTTTGGAAAGTGCGAATGCAAAGTATGGAAAAGCACCAAGTTGCCGGCCTGAAAAAAATTGCATTCATCCTTGTTGAGGGCCAATTCAAAGGTCCTTCGCTGATTTTGTTCCACAACAAGATCCAGGCCTAGATACGTGGCTTTAACAAAAATGGGGCTGAAACTCAAGAACTGACTACTGCCGAACAGCCAAAGGCCTAGTGATATAAAGGCCTGCGGGTCAAACCAGTATCTTGCTGAGTTGGCACAAAAGTTGGATCACCAATGACCTGGTCTTTGTCATTCCTGGTCTCTTGCGAATGTCGGGAAACCGGGAAACCCATGTCCAAATTTCCAAAAAAAAGGTCTTAGCAGCGCATCATCAGAAACCAGGGGAAAAACATGTGGAAGTTCAACCAAAATCGGCACCTGGCACAGTGGTGATTCTCCAAAGGCGAAGAATCATTGTAGCGGAGCCTAAAGGCTGTCACTGGTGCGCTGCAGTTGGAGAAGTTACTCAACCGGTTCAGCAAAGAGCAGAAAGTTGTGGTCAGCAACGATGTTATGGGATGTCATGGGTCGATACCAGGGGTTAAATCTAAAAGACCGTTTAGTGAAGAGCTGTTTTGTATGAGTTTCACCTTGGGAGTCAATGACAAGGAACTTTCATCTGCTACAGACTCAGTGGCCGGCGCAAGTTCGCTACGAGTCATGATCTCGAAGGCATTGTTGTACCTGGCACGCAAATGTGCTCCAGGTAGCAACAGAAACAGGAACTATACAACTTTTAGAGCCACTGTAATTATGCATGATACAAATATCATCATATAACTATCTCTCGCAAGAAGCCAATCAGTAATACCTGCCACCAAAAAGCACAAAGCACATCGTCATAACATGATCAGTTTTTCCTGAGCACTGCAACCAAATTTCGGCGCACCCACGATGATCAACGTCGTGACAAAGGGCCGCCATCTCAGAATCCGCTGGAATTTGTCTCTGGACTGGATCCTCTTCCGACTCCATGAATTTCCATGAGATATTAGGGCTCCACCCCAGGCACAAGGGGGGCAATTGGGTAATATATTATCGGCTATCAGCGGCTATCACTTACCTATGGGCTTTCCGCAACCCATCAATATTGAGGGTGTCAACAAATTGTCCAAACTTCATGTCTTAAGCTCAAGGCAAGCATGGCAAACATCTCGGCATGACCCAGGTGCTCAGAAAGTTTAGCAACCTGTGACGGAAAGTGGTGGAACACAACTGGCTTTGTCCGGAAATCGGTATACCCTAAAATGCACAAAATGATCCCAAACATGCAATTTAAACTTCCAAAAATTGTGTTCCTTTGGAATTGGAGGTCCCCCATTTTCAGATAAACCCATAACTGTTGCAGTGAGCTTCACTTCTCATACACCTAAAAGCTTCCCAAACCTCTACCTGCCAAAAGCTGCCTGGAAACTGGTGCAAGGGAATCTTCCATGTGCCAGCGTATGGAATACAAAAACCTGATTATCAAATGGCCAAATGCTTATGTTTAGAATCAGAACGGTGAATTGTGTGGTAACCCCATCAGATTCACCGTTTGATGATCTCAAAGGGACCAATGGATTCAAATGTCACCAACCTATGATAGTGACACCTTCCCCCACTGACCCACTGGGGATTGGGATTTCGAAGCTGAGGGATTACCTGTCAAACAGCCCTATCTCCCGCCTCAATCATCTTGAAGGTGTAGTGCAGTGTGGACATACCATGATGAAAGTTATGGAACCTGATCCAAGCTTGCTGCTTGATGCTGCTTGCTGCTTGTTTCTGGCCAAAAATAAAACCGATCCCCAGAGTGCCCCTGAGCGGTGCACGGTATTGCTCGGTAGTTGGCTTTCACTTCCTGGGAGGCTGTCTTTGGGAGTCAATCCACTGTCGACCAGTCATGGGTCATGAGTCATGACCCATTCAAAGTTGGCTGCATTTTGAAAAAGAACATTATATAAAGATATTAAAGTACCAAGAAATCGGAGGCGAAAATGAACCAAGATGTTGATTTCCAAGGCATTTGCTACCGCAACTGTCTTGGCTAAACACTATTGACCATAGCCCACCACATGCGATCTTCAGATGACAGGCCTGAAAGAAGTGCAGAAGCACACCTTAGACCCACAGATAGTGGTTAGCTTATCGGGATACCACCAACCAATGGCAGGGGATGGAACCAAGAGGAGATCCACCAGGAATCACAGGGATATGTTTGTTTTTAATGATGTTTGATGGACGAACTACATGAGTTGAACGCATCAAATAACAGTGGGTCTGATTTGTATCAACTATAACTGAATCTAGGTGATATCATAGAATGATTCCCGAACAGTGGTCCCCAAGCCCATTCTGCTGGGGCACCAGGAGCAATGGTGACATTGTCAAAAACATCCAGCCTCGGTCGCTCAGTTTGACTGTAGGCAGCAAATCATCACTTCTGCATCGGGAGAACTAAATGAATCTACATGAACCAATTGGTTTTCAGAGTCACGGACCCAACACTGGATCAATTTGGGGCAAAAGCGCTCACCCTCCCAGCCCGCTGAGAAGAGGACAAATGGAGTGAGTTGATCAAAAGAGTGATTTCATCTTGAGGTGTCATGGCCTCACAGCAATCATCGGCTCTGCCAAGGCGAGCTGAGAACGGTGACTTTTGGAAACACGGCATTCGTAAAGCCAAGGCTTGCAAGGCTTGCAAGGCTAGGCTCCCAGCCCAGTAGTCAACGCTCCATTCTCGGACGTCGGCATATGTTGCTGGGGTGAGATTCCTGACACAGCACACAGCCCTGAAACAACTGCAACCAGCGCGGGCATCACCGGCATCACCCGATCGGCAGCATCGCCAGCCTAACGGCGTTCGTATCCGCGTCGGACATCATCTGAGGAGCGAACTCGCAAAGTGAAACATCCAGTTGCGCAGATGGTCAATCATGGGCTATCCCCAAAGCCAAGGAATACATACAAATACGCCGAGTTCAGGCGATTTAGGGTACCCAAGTTGGAGAAACCACAATGATCCCTTGGTAAACCCGTTTTTTCCATGACTTTTTGCCAAGTGATGCCAAGTCGCAAGGTTTGCTGATCCATGGAAGTTGAGTGCCTCGGAGCTTGAAGCCAAATCGACAGCGGCTGATCATTCCACTGTTACTTGAGTGATAATGGTCATTGGTCATTGGCATCTACGAATCTAAATCGGATATCTTGGTTGATTCCCCTCGCTGATCATCGCATCACCAGAACTTCTGACCCGCTAGGCAAAGGGATTTCCCCAATCATTACCGGCATTCGTGGGACTGTGGCGATGATTATCAGGCAGGTCCTGCGGTGGAGAAGTGGCTGAGTGGTCCCGGCAGATGCAACATGACCAACAAAGCGGTGAACCGTAGCAGTTTCTTTGTGTGGACCCTTTCTCTCCTGCAACGGCGTTGAGATTGAAACAGAAATATGTAACCCTGGAGCGATTGTAGCAGCAAAAACTCAGGAATACGAACTGCAGGGCCTGCGGCCCTCCTCTGCTTCTCGCATTCACCGCCTCGTGATTGGACACTGTCAGACAGGTTCCATGAGTGAAGAGAATGCTTAAAAGTGCAGTGGCACACTGCTCATTGAAGAGAAAGGCTGACCTCTGCAGTGAAATATTCGGAGATCAGTTCTTGGTCGTCCTCGCGAAGGACACCAGCCACGCGCGTAGCCCACAATTATGATTTACCTACATCCCTAGCCATATGCCTACCTGCTTATCTAGATACCTATTTGTTGCCTGCGGACGGGCAGAATTAGTTCCAGACCTGCAGACCCGTGCAAACATGTACAAAGACCTCTCGACATCCGTGGACGTAGGCGCAAACATCAACAAGTGCAAAATAATCAAACACAAACATAGCTACATCATGAAAAGATGCCTTGGTACTTGCATGCACTAACTGGCGAAAGACAATGCCAATGTGAATACATGAGAATGCGGTGTAGCAATAATTTATGATACATTATGATCATAATGATGATAGTTGTCATGATAATAATTATAATGAAAAACATTATACTATAGCAAAACAATGATAATTTTCATGGTAGCAATAGTATAGATATAAATAGGATCATATAGGTGTCGTGTGCCAGACACGTGACGTGGCGCAAGAGATCTCCTGCTTCATGGTGTTGGATCCACTTCTGTCATTGTTGCGCTCCAGCAACGCCTTCGTCCACATGAGATCCAGGGAGAGGCGTTCGACATGGCTTCCAGCCTCAATCCACACTGAACTCAGCCAAAGATAGACCCCTTCTTTCCATCCCAGCCACTTTTGACTTTTTCTGGCAGCATCCATTCCATGGTCTGAGCTTCCCTGCGGCATTCGCCAGCCAGTCGATGAACTCGGAGTCCTGGTTGGTAAACTCCACTTTGCCGCTGCCCCAGAAAGAGAAGGCCGACACCACGTCCTCGATCCGATGCCCAGTGGTTTTTGCATCAATGGGGACATGGTCACCTCTCCAACACGAACCAATGGGTTTGGAGTATGGAGGTATACAATAGTCACGTTTGAAGGGATACTCATGATAAAGTCTTGGATTTTCGGGGTCCCCAATTTTTGGACAAACCCCAGATGGTGACCAAACAAGCAGCCATCAACACAGAGGGTAAAACTCCACTCCTCGCTGTCGTTCAACGTGCCAATGCTTTTGTCTCCCACGATGATGAGCCCAAGCGGTTTGCTGTCCTGCTCTGATTTCAATTGCATGTATACATACATGGTTTCATGGATGTATCTCTGGTGAACGGCTGTTCGGCAGAGCAAATGGTGCAAACGGCTGTTTTCACACGCAAGTGGCAAATGCCTCCATGGCGTTTATCGACCTGCAGGTCGTTGCATTGCTAAATTGCTATATGCTCAAGGGATCCGCTGATGATCCCATTGGGAAAAAAAGGTGGTGGCATCGGTCGGCGAATGGTTCATGTGCAGACAAGGTCCAAAAGCACAACATGAATGATCAGAATGGAATTCACACTGGAGTATTTTGTTTTCGTCGACCAATGCTACATATGGGTGCCTTAGCCAATCTTGAAGTGCAGCGCAGAGCTCCTTGTCTTCTTTGGTAAGACAATCAGCCCACATGACCGTTGTTGGCACCCAACGGCAATCATCTTCACAAATGAAGTCTTGGATGGATCTAATTGCTATCATGGTCCGCTTCTCTGTTGTGGAAGGGTTTTCTGAAATGACAGCATCATACAGCGACTTACAATCTGTACACTGAACTTGACGCAAGGCTCTCTCAGGGTGAGGTTTCCCAGTGGCGGTGGTGCCATAGAGCAAAGCAGTGATGAAGTAATTTATGTAGGTCGCCCTATCCACTGTTTCATCCATCGCATTGGCTTCACTTGCAAGAGTGGATCGTGTCACTCTTGGGGATCTTGCACTCTTCCAGTCCAAGATGCTGACGTAGCTCTTGTGCTCTAAGCAGTCAGGTGAAGCGAAGAGCACCAAGCTGCCCATCTGAGATTTGCCACCAGGGGCGTTTGCCCAGCTCGAATCACCATACCCCACAATCATCGAGGCCTTGTTGAAGGGCACAGGATGGAAGCATAGACCTACGTCTTTGGTCTTCTTGGCAATCTCAATGTACTCAAACAGCATCTTGAGGTTCTGCAAGGTTGTCTCTTTTCCCCTGTTAGCCAAGCTCACAGCTGAACAGAGGTCTGGACGGGTCTGTCCACCCAGCCATTGCAGTGAGCCCGCAACTGATCTGAACTCACTCCAGTCAGCTGCGTTCAACTCTTCGCTGACCAATCTGCCACGGCCAAGCTTGCCGGTGCTCATCTCATCGATGAAGGCTTGCTGTGTCACATGCAAAGTGATCTTGCCCTGCATATTCTTCATTCGGATCTCTTTTCCACGAAAAACAATGCAGTTGTCCTCAGTCAGCAAGGTTGTTGAACCCCAGGTGAACATCTGCTCAAGCTCGCTCACATCATAGTCTTCCCGGAAGGCCACCAAAAAGTCGTCCACATGGATGATCATGACGACCAACAGGCGCTCTTCGGCATCGCGCTTGATCAGAAAGCATCTGTCATAGCGGTGCTGGAAAAAGGCATGCTTCTTTGTGGTACCTAAAACATTGGTCCACCAGGTGCGTGGTGCTGAAGCAAATCCATAAAGATTTCCGCACACCTCGTAGAGCTCGTCCGGGAAAGTGTTGGCAAGCTTCTGGATTCCATCGCGTGGTGCACGCATGAACAGTGGCTGGCTTCGAGGCTCAGGAGTGCCTTGCAAAAACGCTGTACTTACGTCTCCACTCCACAACTTCCATTTCTTGTTGGTGAGCTCCACAAGTTGATTCATGCCAGACACTGCTATCTGCAAAAGAATCATTTCTGCTGTTTTGGAAGGTGTTGGTGAGCTTCGGGCTAGGGTAGCCAAATCTGGGTCTTGGCATCCAAGCACCACTGTGCGACATTTTGCACGAACAGTGGGTCCAGCTCCACGGTTCTTGTCTCGATAGGCATTGCGTGATGGAATGATTCTCCGTCGCAAAGGAGGAGTTGCTTTGATCTCCTTGATCTTGTCGGGCTTCAAAGGAGCGATACAGCCCCAACTCAGCCAGCTGGCAAATTCTTTGCGGTTGGCCTCAACGTAGAGCTCGACAGTCTCAGGAGGGCTTTCCAAAATCACTCGCCAGGGAATTTCTCGATCCATGGCTTTCCGTTCTTGTCTCGAAAGACGTTCCATCGTTGGTGATTGCTCATCATCTGATGAATCACTAGACATCTCTTCGTTCTCGACCTTGGCTGCAGCCACACGAAAGGCTGCGGAGGTCAAAGGAGAAATGGCTTTCACATTGCCATCCCACCCGTCCTCGACACGTTCAAACGTGCAGTAGGGCTCTTCAGGGACCTGCTGAACCACAAAGGTGAAGTGGTTGGTCATCAGCGCTGCGGTTGATGGTGGTCCTGAAGAGTTCTCAGAAACGCGAACTGTTGGTTGTGAGCTGCCAAGGCCATTGCTTGAGCTGTCAATTGGAATGGCAACATCAGCTGCTGCAACTTCAGGTGGTGGTGGAATCACTTCATGTGGTTCTGAAGGAATTGCATCTGATGGTGCTGGCAGAGGTTTGGCTTGAAGAGCTGGTACTTCAAGATGTTGTGAATGTTCAGGACTTGGAATTGATGGTGGTAATAGATTATGTTGTGATGAATGTGGTGCTGATAATGGTGGTGGTTGTATATCAGACAATGGTGATGTAGGTGAAGGTTGCACATCCAAATCTTCATGAAGTCGAGGTCGAACATTCCTCTGGTCCATCTCGAAAGGAAGAAAATTCTGAACATCTTGGCGAATGCTCTGGTTGTACACTGGAGAGTAGTTCATCGCCATTGGTTGTTGAAGCATAGAAGGATGATGAAGTGGAACTGGCAAAACAGGAGGCTCAGGAACGAAAGAAGGTTGTGGCTCTCCAAGCAAGAGTCCAGGCTCAATTGCCATGGCTTCGCCCATCTCTTCATCTTCAGCCTCAACCGCTAGGTCAGGTTCCATCGGTTCATCTTCTGGTGGAGGTGGTCCTCGATGGTCTTTCCACATGCCCTGCATGAGGTTCTTCTCAGCATTCTTCAAAAGCCGAATGTCCTCCATGTCAGGGTTCCACGCTTCAAGTCCATACGTGGGGCGCAGCTGCTCATAGGTCACTTGAACTGCAGAAGATCCAGCTTGGATCCATGCAGACTTGCCATCGGGATCATGATGGAGAAGTCTGCCCAAAACGTAGCCACCCTTCTTCTTGCCGGCAGCTCGTTTGGTCCATCGCCAGTAGGCAGCAAGGCTTCCAGGCAAAATGGCCTGAGACTCCTCCTTGTTGGGCTTGGTCTTTCGAAGCAAGGCTCTTCGAATGACTTGGGACGCTCTGGTCTCGCTGATGACTCGCAAGGCTTGTTGTCGAAATTCTTCAGCAAGCATTTGATGATCTGAAACAATCATTGCACGATCATCACTCATCAGGTCGCCAGGAAAACGTGGAAGTCGGCCAAAAACGGCCTGATAGGGGCTGCGTCCCTTGGTGGCCGTGCTGCTGTTCAAGGCTTGGACAGTTGATATCAAAATCCAATCAACGCCCTCGCCATTGGTCACAGCATTCTCATCAATCAAACGTTCAGCAGCTGTTCGAAGAACTGCATTCCTCCTCTCCACAGTTCCTATGCGCCAATGCGCTTCAGGAGGTATCACCACATAGTGAACTCCAGCGTCTTCCAAGGCAGTTCTAAAGTCGCCTTCAAAGGCTCCATCAGCATCAACTTCGCAGACCAAAGGATATCCATAGGGCATCAACCAACTGCGTCTGAACTGGTCTGCAACATGAGCTGAGGCTCTACTGTGAAGACGAACTGCTTGTTGGAGCAGGGTGGCCATGTCAACCATTCCGAGCACAGGATGATTCGATCCAGAAAGATCTCGGATGTAGACAATGTCAACCTGAACTCGTTCTCCAAATTGGCCCATGAACTGTGGAATGGATGCTGGGCGAGGAGGTGCTGGTGGCTTGGTTCGTTCACAAGAACCACAAACCATGTGATTGATGGCAGTCAAAGTGGCTGAATTGATTGACCCATAGGAGGAGAGAAGTCGAATGAGCTCCTTCTTATGGGCATGGCCAGTGTTGAGGTGAAGTCGAGCCACTGAGGCCTTGACTGCTGCTGGCAAAGTCTTTGGAGCGCCAGGGAAGGTCACATCGGTCTTAAGTCCAGGGACCGGCAGATGAGGACCTTCCTGTTCTTCAGCATCATCGGCTGTTCTTGGCGCTTGTTTCTTGCTGTCATCTTCTGCAAGTCCAAAGAAGAAAACAGCGGACTGAACCGCTTTGCTAAAGCGCTGCTTGGGGAATGCCACATTGCTGAGGTCCTCAGCTTCCAGCGCCATGCCATCGTCGGAGTACAGCAGTGCAGCTCCACGGTGAGTGAAAGGAATATCCCGTGGAAGTCTTCTAGTCACCGGTGTTTTGGCGATCTGCACCCTGACAATCTCCCAAGGCACCATCTCCTCAATCTTTCGGTACAGCTCCTGGCCAGGCTGCAAAGTCAAAACTCGAACTGAGCTGTTGGCAAAGGTGTTGGTGACCTCATTCAAAATGCGGCGCCATGCGTCTTCATCATCAACAGGCTGTGCAAAACAAACTTCGAAAGGCTTTTCGAAGCGCAAAGGACTGAGCTTCTTGGCCTCCTGCTTCACAAATCTCAAAATTGTGCGCACCAGCTCATCAGGATAGACTTGCGAGTTGGTCACATTGATACCTTCCAGCGGCTTGCACATCTGGCGTTCTTGGGCATTGAGACGTCTGTGAAGCAGCTGAGCCAAAGCAGGGCTATTCACCAAGAACTTGTGGGTCTTGATGATTGGAAATCCATCTTTGTCGGTGGCTCCAAAGGCACCTGCATCCAAAGTGACGAGCTGAGCATCAGGCAAGTCCATGAGCTCGATCACTGGAGGCTCATCCCAAATTCTGCTCTTGGCAGAGTTCTCCAAGGCAAAGAACCTGCCAGCCAAGGCCTGTTGTTTGATTCGATCTGCAACCCAGCGAAGGAGAGGTCTTTCAAGTTCACGCAGAGCTTCAAGTTCGTGCATTCTCCAGCTGTAGTTGCAGTTTTCGTTCATCACACTCCAGAAGGTGCAAGGAAAACCAATGAGCATCAGGAGCGGCGAAAAGCGATCGATGGTCTCTTCAACCATCTTCTGAGTGACTGGGTCCTGGAGGTCCTTGCCATCGTTCTTGTCGATGGGTTCCAGGGCATTGAGTCCATACTGGCCTGCCATACGAGTTGCTTTGGCTGTTCCAGCAAACAGCTCAAAAACATCAACAGCGTTTTTCTTGTTGTTGCGCTCGAATGGCATGTGCTGCATGACGTGCACCTCGGCCTCCAGGGTCTTTATGTTCTTCTTCAAATCACCAGTCAATCGCTTGCGACGTCCGACCAGCTGTATAGGCTGAGTAGATCCATGTCCTGATCCACATCCTGGAGTTCCTCCTCTCGGAGCAGATGGCCTGCCGCTGAGGATGTCATAGAAGGTGGCCTGGATCTGGTCTTTGGTTGCCTCGTTTCCGAACCAGGCTTGGGTTTGGCCTTGCTGGCCAGTGCTTTCAGGGGCAGACAATCCGCCTGTGAAGCTGGGGCTTGAATGGAACCGTCCACCGTCGTCAAGAAAGATGGCAGAGGCAGCAACAATCTGGAGGAGCAGCCATGCAACTTCCATCCGGTTCCGTCCCACAGCCATCTGGCTTTGCATCTGAGGCACGTCGCATAGCTTCCGTGGCGGTTCCCGTGCCTTTTGAACTCCAGGTGCTGGCAATCTCTTTGGAGGTTCTGTTGATGTTCCTGGGCCGCTGTCTTCGCGCTTGCTTTGGCGCCGCGGTTCTTGACAGGGGCGTTGTCCTTCTCCTGGAGATAGTTCATGTATGTCTTCTTGTCCATGACTCCCAGACGAAATGCCTGGAATAGCTGAACAGCCAAGTTCTTGCCGAAATCCAGCAGCTTGGCACTGAGGCGCTTCCATCGCTTCCTCACAACAGGGTTGAAATCCATGGTGAGTTGGCTCAGGTAGCGGACGAATTGCTTGAGAGTTCACAGCAGTGTCGTCGGCCGCTTGCTCAAGTGTCAAAACTGTGGCAACTTCAGGATCATGGACCAAATGCGAAGACGATTGGGTGAATGTGGAAACTCATCTATTCGAATCGCAAGGTGTCCATCAACACGTGAAAGAGATGTGGTGACATGCAACTTGTTGAAGTGAACGACATGCTGATTCAAATCAATCACTGCACCTAAACGCTTCAGCAAACGAAGACTTCCAAGAAAAGGAATATTGGCATCAATCACATCAACTCCCAAAATCAAACAGCAGCCTTGAATTGAGCTGGGCATCCAAATCTTCTCCAAAGAAACCATTGGGGGTCCTGCTCCAAACTGAAACCGCTCAGAGCTGGCCTCGTGATGAATCTTGAGGCGGAAGGACTCCAAATGTTCGGCCTGCAGTGATGCCCATGACTTTCCACAGCAAGAACGTTGGCAGGCCGTGTCAATGATCATGAAACCAAAGGTCTTAGATGTTGAAGTGCTCAGGCAAACATGTGGCAAAGTGCAAACCATAGCAAAATGTGGATGAGGTTGTTCATGAGGTGGCATGTATTCGACGGTGGTGTCATACCCAGAGCTGTGGTGAACGGTCATCACCTTTTTGGCAGAACTGCTCGAATCCTCACGGCCTTTTTGACCTTTGTCTTTTCCCTTTTGGGATGAAGTGAAACTGGAGGGTGTAGTCTTTGAGTCTGTCTGCTGGTTCGGTGTCATCTCGCATTCTGGGTCACCAGCCCAATGGCCTTTGATGCCACAGGCTGCACACATCGAAGTCCGTTTCTTCTCCTGGATGCTCTTCTTTGGCTGACCTGAGTATTTCCTGCCCTGCGTGACATTCGCCAACTTTCGAGCAGTGACGGTGAGAACTTCAGCCAAATTGGCAGCATCCTCTTCTTGTACTTCTGCTTCTGCATCTTCACATTCAGGATCCCCTTGTTCCTCAGGCTGGTCATCAGCGGGGACTTCGTTGTCACCTTCTTCTGCCTGTTCCTCATTCTCATCACCTTCTTGAATAGTCTCAGTCTGATACACTCTTCGTGGTCCCTTTCCAGAACCCTTCCCCTTTCCACCTCCAGTTGAGGATGTAGAGGATGAGGAAGTCGAAGTAGAACCTTGGTGATTCTTTCCAGATCCCTTAGGCTGATATGGAGCATTGTTGGATTCACGGCCAGCAACAGGAGGTGTCGGCTTGTGCTCCGGAAACTGAAGCATGAGTGCCGCACGAATGGCATCAAATGAGAGGGCTTGACCTGTACCTACCAAAATCAACCTCTGCTGCTCAGTGGTCAGTCGGGCTCGATCCAGCAACCGTGAACCGCGACTCTCATCATCGTATGTCAGACTGATATCTATGTTGATTGCACGCAAGGAAGCTTCTGCACGACGATATCGATTGATGAAGGCTCGGAGTGATTCTCCTGGATACCTACCGATAGACTCATATTCGTGCAGATACTGTCGCTTGACGTACACTGTTTTCTGCTGGAAGGCTTGTTTCAACTGGCTCAGAATGGTATCCACACCACCCTTACGCCTTACGGTAGATGGTGTTGACATCCACAAACTCCAATTCCTGCTCAGCTTCACCACGCAAGGACGTGAAAAGAGTGAGGGCGGCCTCAGCGTCAGTCATATAGTGCTTAACCTGCAACTCCCAAACCTTGACCTTTCTCTCATACTTCTCATAAGCACGAATGTCAGAGGCAGAATAGCTCCATGCAGGCGGTTGCGGTGGTGCACCTCCACGAAACTTCACACCACGTTGAGGTCCCATAGCACTGATCCAGGAATCACTAGAGGCTGAACTCCGGTTAGTCTGTCCATTTGCCAGTTGTTGGAGTGCTGCAGTCAATGCTTGAATAGGGTCATCCACACGCGGCTGAACTGCTTCTGCTCGATGTGGTCGTCCCCGCACACGCACTGATCCAGCTGGTGTCACATCAATTACTGGGTCATTGGTGGCAACTTCAGACTCAGCAGTCTCTTCCTGTCCGTCGCCAATCAAAGCATCAGGTGGATCGGCAGGGTGTCGCCGACGGCGTCTCGCCTTTCGCCTTCCAGTCTTCTGTGATGATGGCGTCTTCACAGGGCTCTGCGAATCATGAGGCATGTAGACCCATGTACCATGTTGTGTGTGGTGTCTTGCAGGTCGCGTGGCATCATAAAACTGATCTCCATGACATTCCATGCATGTCCAGTTCTCGGCTATCACGTTCCACGCAAAACTACTCTTCCCACATTCTACGCACACCCAACGAGTCATGCCAGGATTGTCGTCGTCGTCAACCTGAAACCAATCAGTGTAACTGGCATCAGGGTCGTCAATTTCACCAGCTGATCCACTGCAGTCATCATGAAGGGACAAGCTATATTCACTGGCAGCTGCATATTGGGCTCGTAGCTTTGGACCAAACTGACGTGGCATCTCTGACCAGATCGGCATGGTCTTTGCCCTGGTTCAGGGCTCCGCTCTACCAACTGGTGAACGGCTGTTCGGCAGAGCAAATGGTGCAAACGGCTGTTTTCACACGCAAGTGGCAAATGCCTCCATGGCGTTTATCGACCTGCAGGTCGTTGCATTGCTAAATTGCTATATGCTCAAGGGATCCGCTGATGATCCCATTGGGAAAAAAAGGTGGTGGCATCGGTCGGCGAATGGTTCATGTGCAGACAAGGTCCAAAAGCACAACATGAATGATCAGAATGGAATTCACAGTATCTATGTGTGTCATGAATATGCTGTAATACATATATACATATATATATATATATATACGTGTATATATATAGAGAGAGAGAGAGATAGATAGATAAAATTAAGTATATCTTGATAAAATATGTATATATATATATAACATATACACACATATCAATTCTGTGGGATTTCGTATAGATTATCCAACGACCATGTGAACCCACCTTGAAATCCGCCCGCACCGAAGGTGCTGGGGCGTGATCTTCCGGATGGCACTCGTAAAAGGTTACAGGTTTACCTGGGGGGGGGGGGGCCCCATTTTTCGGCCAAAACCTCCTGTTTTTGATAGGTCGTGACGCTCGCCTTCAAAAAACACTGTAAAAAACAGTACGGAAGACACCTGTTCGTGAACGCGCCCGTCCAAAATCGGCAAGCGAAAAGTGAAAAAAACCCGTGTTTTTCAACTTTTTGACTCAATTTTTTGGTTTGCAACATCTTTTTTTGCGGTTCCGCAGGTGGCCTGGCCCGGAGGCGGATTTTTGAGTTTTTGGACCCGTTTTCGGACTGATTTTCGTCGTTTTGTGATAGCAGAAACATTGGTTTTTACAGTGTTTTTCTGTTTTCTGCATGCTTGACGGCTAGCTTCAAAACTTCCAAAAACCTCGTAAATTACACTGTTTTATGTTACGGTGTGAATGAAAACATCGTAAATACCAGTGTTTTTTGACGTTGGTTTAAAAAAAACACTGTAAATTACAGTGTTTTTGGCCACCTGACCCTCAAAAACCATGGTATTTGCAGTGGTTTCTGCTTCTCACCGCGCAAAAACACTGTAAATAACAGCAATTTCGCCGTTTTGTCATGTTTTTCGTTATTTTTTGAACTGCGTTGGTCCGCTATACATGGCCATCAAATTCTGCGCGTTTTTTTTTCCGACAATCAGTACTTTCGGATGTTTTTGGTCTCAATGCCCCTGCTGTGTGAGCCCAACGATGCGGTGCGGGCGGTTGCCGTCGCGAAGCGACGTGAATAACATGAACAAGCGACCTGCGTATGTATATAGATATCACTGCTCAAAGCCTTTCTTGTGATTTGGGTCTCCTTCCCTGCACTCTTGATGGTTGCAACCATGATGCCACGGGCATCATCCATGCCCTGCCAGCACGTCTGAACATGTCTGAACTGATGGTTGCCATGGTTGCCATGAGCCACTGAGAACCCGGCAAATGGCACGGGGTCCAAGTAGGGGCAGCCCTGTACATCCTCAGGGGAGCAATTTCTGTTTGCTCTCCTTGGGTCTCAACCCCTCTGTATCTCTAGCAACATCCAAGCTTGGGATCGAGCATTGTAGACCAAAGCTCCCTGCTGCTCACCGCTGTTGTCCTGCGCTACATCGTAAATATTGTAATGATTTGGTCCAAATCAATATCCACCAATATCCACCAATATCCACCAATATCCACCAATACAATCAAGCCTCCCCAGTAAACTCCGAATCCTACTTCCACACTCCAGGTAGGCCCCCTTTCGGCCTTTATGAACTCGGCAATCCGACCAGGCAAGCCGATGCCGAAGGCAAAGCGGAAGGACTCAGAGACAGATTGGGTAGGATAGGACCAAACCTCAGTTGGCGCTTCAGCCATGGGAATCCCCTTCTCTTCACATGAAAATAGCTGGAAATTTATAATAATTTATAGATGTTCCCAATCCAGTTGAACCCATCTGCTGTCACCCTTGGCAGCTTTCCGAGACACCTCTGCAGAGTCTTGGTCGATAAAAAAGACGCTACACTTTTTGGAGTGCGTCACCACCTGAGAGAATCATCCCGGAATCATCCCGGAATCCCTGCTGAAAAAACAGCAAAAAATCACTGAATGGCCATCCCCACCTGCACAGCCCTCTCGATGCTGCTCACCAAATCCAAGGTGTTGGTCGCCATGCTAAGCTCCGAGACCAGGGACTGGCCACAAGATGCTCAGGTTTGTCCCACTTTTACTGTGAAAATCCACAGAAAACCATAAGAAAACCTTGGTCTTTGCGGGTAAAAACCCCTGATTTTCCATAGAGTTTCCCTGAAACAAATCTGTTGAGCCTGCATTTGCTCGGTGGAATGCTTGCGCAGGATCAATTCTTGCAGCTGGGAGCGAGCCTGCACGTCGCGGGTTCATCCCAGTAAGTTGTGGGAATTCATGATTCATCATAACCATATTGTTCCCCACACATGTATACATATATGTATAGGTTATATTTAGGTGTGATACAACACTTCCTAGCAAGCACCCAAGCCACACAACGTCGTTGCACCTGTAAGGCAGCTCTCAGCGAAGATTTGGCCAACGCTTCTGCGGCTGCCAGGTCGAAGTGATCCAACCTCTCACCATCATCAGAGAAATCCAACACTGTCGGCCTGAAGCGCGGCGGGGAACCGGGTCCCAAGGATTCCAAAGGTCCATTTCTGCAGAATCTTGGTGGTGCCCACTATCGCCCCATCCGTGGTGTGGCGGTGACGGTGGATCGAATCAAAAACTCGGATTCCGGGCTTTCCAATCCCATGCAGTCGCACACAAATCTCCCTTGAGGAGGCGTGCCTTTGGTGAAACATCCTGGAAGTTTCATCTTTGGACAGCTATGGCTGATAAATGGCTGGTCATCTTATTTTAAGTGCAGAATTTCCGAATGAAATTCATGCACCCTCTGGGAATCAAATATGGCTGGAAAATCCCCATTTATAGATCATGTTCCATTTAAATACCCATTTGCAGGGGATTCCCAGCCACGATTGATGACACCAGGTGCAAATGGTCACACAGCTGAGCCCCCAACGAGCCACTGCTTTGGAGAGACAATTCCTGCATTCCCCGAGCTACGACATCCCAGGACAACCAGGATCTTTTGAACGAAGTTGTTTTCTAATATTGATGAATAGAGATAGTGAGTTGGCTTCCTGGATTCAAACACTATTAAATAGAACTGAGTTGTGTGTATAATATATATATATATATCATGTATGTATTGCAGAAATATAAATATGTACTGTATATATATACTATACATATAGTACGTGGTGAACTAAATAATAACATAACAATCGCAATTAGTAGGCCAAACATTTGACATCATCCCAACTAGGCCTTGGAGATTGTTCATTATTGGGTTTACCGCAGTGTGTATTATAGATGATACATACATATTATATATAATTATATTATATATATATGATATATATATATATGATATATGATATATGATATATGATATATGATATATGATATATGATATATGTATACATAATAATATACATAATATACATACCCATATATTATATATTATCATATATGTATCTATATGCATTTGATATTTCTTTATTCTTCATATCCATGAAGGATCAACCACTAGTCCCCGCCTCTGCGCAGGAAACTTCCCATGTCGCTTCGGAGGACATCATGAAGGCCTCCTCCGCTAAGCCACTGAGGCTGCCATCCATTTGCCCACCTCGATCAGTGCAAGCCGTGGAAGCCGTGGAAAAATCGGATGGTTTTTTTTCCAATGGTTTGGAATTATTTGGATACCCTCTGGTAATTTAACGTAGCTATTGAAAATGGCCATTAATAGTTGATTTTCCCATTAAAAATGGTGATTTTCCATAGCTACGTTAAATTACCAGAGGGTATTTGGATACCTGTGGATTCTTGGATGAAATTTTTTGGTGAGTTCCTGAAATTTGGAGAAATGCATAGAAATGCGGCGCCCGGGATCACCGTAGGTGTGCGGCATGGCCTTGTGCCGGCTTTGGCTTCAAAGCCTCAAAACCTACGCAGCAGCTTTCGAAGGCGTGCCGCTTGCTTGGCCATGGTACCTCCCTAGGCCCCACAAGCTGTTTCTCTTGGGCTTCGAAACTGCTAAACTGCTATGTGGCACGTTTTGGGCAGGCCTCAAAAGCCTCAAAACCTCCGCAGCAGCTTTCGAAGGCCTCAAAACCTCACAACCCTCCGCAGCGGCTTTCGAAGGCGTGCCGCTTGCTTGGCCATGGTACCTCCTAGGCCCCACAAGCTGTTTCTCTTGGGCTTCGAAACTGCTATGTGGCACGTTTTCGGGCAGGCCTCAAAAGCCTCAAAACCTCCGCAGCAGCTTTCGAAGGCCTTGGAACCTCACAACCCTCCGCAGCAGAATTTGGAAAGCGTGCCGCTTGCTTGGCCATGGTACCTCCCTAGACCCCACAAGCTGTTTCTCTTGGGCTTCGAAACTGCTATGTGGCACGTTTTCGGGCAGGCCTCAAAAGCCTCAAAACCTCCGCAGCAGCTTTCGAAGGCCTTGGAACCTCACAACCCTCCGCAGCAGCTTTCGAAGGCGTGCCGCTTGCTTGGCCATGGTACCTCCCTAGGCCCCACAAGCTGTTTCTCTTGGGCTTCGAAACAGCCTCAAAACCTCCGCAGCAGCTTTCGAAGGCCTTACAACCTCACAACCCCCCGCAGCAGCTTTCGAAGGCGTGCCGCTTGCTTGGCCATGGTACCTCCCTAGGCTCAACAAGCTGTTTCTATTGGGCTTCGAAACTGCTATGTGGCACGTTTTGGGCAGGCCTCAAAAGCCGCAAAACCTCCGCAGCAGCTTTCGAAGGCCTTAGAACCTCACAACCCTCTGCAGCACCTTTCGAAGGCGTGCCGCTTGCTTGGCCATGGTACCTCCCTAGGCTCCACAAGCTGTTTCTATTCGGCTTCGAAATTGCTTTGTGGCACGTTTTGGGCAGGCCTTAAAAGCCTCAAAACCTCCGCAGCAGCTTTCGAAGGCCTTGGAACCTCACAGCCCTCCGCAGCAGCTTTCGAAGGCGTGCCGCTTGCTTGGCCATGCTGTTTCTATTGGGCTGCGAAACTGCTATGTGGCACGTTTTGGGCAGGCCTCAAAAGCTGCAAAACCTCCGCAGCAGCTTTCGAAGGCCTTGGAACGTCACAACCCTCCGCAGCAGCTTTCGAAGGCGTGCCGCTTGCTTGGCCATGGTACCTCCCTAGGCCCCACAAGCTGTTTCTATTGGGCTTCGAAACTGCTATGTGGCACGTTTTGGGCAGGCCTCAAAAGCCTCAAAACCTCCGCAGCAGCTTTCGAAGGCCTTATAACCTCACAGCCCTCCGAAGCAGCTTTCGAAGGCGTGCCGCTTGCTTGGCCATGGTATTTGCCTAGGCCCCACAAGCTGTTTCTATTGGGCTTCGAAACTGCTATGTGGCACGTTTTGGGCAGGCCTTAAAAGCCTCAAAACCTCCGCAGCAGCTTTCGAAGGCCTTGGAACGTCACAGCCCTCCGCAGCAGCTTTCGAAGGCGTGCCGCTTGCTTGGCCCTGGTACCTCCCTAGGCCCCACAAGCTGTTTCTATTGGGCTTCGAAACTGCTATGTGGCACGTTTTGGGCAGGCCTCAAAAGCCTCAAAACCTCCGCAGCAGCTTTCGAAGGCCTCAAAACCTCACAACCCTCCGCAGCGGCTTTCGAAGGCGTACCGCTTGCTTGGCCATGGTACCTCCCTAGGCCCCACAAGCTGTTTCTATTGGGCTTCGAAACTGCTATGTGGCACGTTTTGGGCAGGCTTCAAAAGCTGCAAAACCTCCGCAGCAGCTTTCGAAGGCCTTAGAACTTCACACCCCTCCGCAGCAGCTTTCGAAGGCGTCCCGCTTGCTTGGCCCTGGTACCTCCCTAGGCCCCACAAGCTGTTTCTATTGGGCTTCGAAACTGCTATGTGGCGCGTTTTTGGCAGGCCTTAAAAGCTTCAAAACTTCCGCAGCAGCTTTCGAAGGCCTTAGAACCTCACAACCTTCCGCAGCAGCTTTCGAAGGCGTGCCGCTTGCTTGGCCGTGGTACCTCCCTAGGCCTCACAAGCTGTTTCTCTTCAGCTTTGAAACTGGTATGTGGCGCGTTTTGGGCAGGCCTTGAAAGCCTCAAAACCAAACAGCGGGTTTTCCCCTTCAAAACCTGCAAATTCCAGAAATCCCACATTTTTGAAGGAACTGGAAGGTCTAAGTATATATATATATATATCTCTCTCTCTCTCTCTATGTGTGTGTGTGAATCTCCGCCGACCCCTGCCTTGCCCCCCCTTAATGGGGGGTCGGCGGCACCAGGGCGTTAGCCCATTTATTACCAGAGGGTATTTGGATACCTGTGGATTCTTGGATGAGGTTTTTTGGTGAGTTCCTGAAATTTGGAGAAATGCATAGAAATGCCAGTTCAACGGAAGTTGGACACGTGCAGCTTCAACGCTTTGAGGTCCCGTCAAATATCCACATAGGTCCTGGCAGGGTCAAGGCTACATGACTCAAATAATTATAATATATATATATATATATAACATATATAATATAATATATATATATATCTTGATTTGATTTGGGTGCCCAATTCGACACCTTTTCCCACACCAAATCGACTACTTTGGTTGCTTGATCTGAAATCAGTGCGGCCTCTTGTCCAACTGCCATACCGCAGCATCTTTCATTATCACATCACCGCGAAGCACTTCGTTTGGAACCTCAGCAATGTCACGCGGGAAAGTTTGATCTCAGCTCACAAAAATGTCATTTCTGCCCTGATATGAGGCAACACTCATCCCAGAAGTTACTTGACAAGTCATCCGCGTCATCCACTTCAACCCAACCAGATAGTGCCAATCGATCGATGGGCTTCCAAACTTCGGCAGCGCTTTGCATTAAGTTCTTTTCCCACTCTTCAGATGGCTTTGCCTCAGGCTGCACCGACAAAGATCAACAACGCACGTCACACATCTTACATCAGCAGGTCAAAGAGTCGCAAAACCACTTACTTCTTTGACACAGATTGTAGAATTTTGTCGCAAGGAGAATCTTCGAATCCGTCATGAATCATGCTGATTCGATCTGAGGCATCAACCAGCACCTCCACTCCTTGAAGAAGGCGATTAATCACAGTCTGCGAATGCCGGGCCTGGCATCTGAAGCCAATGAAGGCAATGTTTCTAGGAGATCTTTCCCCCCAGGTTACAAGCAGCTTTCGGAAGAATTTTGATACAGGGTTCCAGGCCCCGGGAAAAACATGGAAACATTATGATGTCGCCAAGGCCATGCTCTTGAGGGCCAACACGACACAACCAACACCCTGGTGGAGTCCTCCGCTTCCCAGTGCATCGATGTGAGGCGTTCTCCCAAAAGTGAAGCCAGCAGCTGCATCATTGGGAGAAGCGAAGCTGCCTCCGGTGCCGACATCCCCAGATGCTGTCAGAAGTCTTCCTTGGGAACATGGAAAAACCATCAAAAAACCATGAAAAAGAGCTAGATCCATCACCTTCATCATCTTGCCTTTCGGTACACATTTAAGATCGGCTTTGGCCATGGTCTCCACATATATTCAAGCCTGGCAAACCTTTAGAGGAACCATGTTGAATGTTCAGCATATTCGCCAGATCCCACCAATTGCGAAGTATTAATCAATCAAAACATGATTGAAATAGTTGAAATCACAAAAAGCTGTGGCGAATAATTGCTGTGCGATTCATCGCAAGTCAAAGGAACTGGCATTTGTTCGAGACTGCCACCAACTTTCTTCCCGCCTCGAATGCTGGAAAGGGTTCTGCCACAAGCACACCTTCCACACCTGGCCCACCAGCAGCTTGGCTGATGCATGTAGGGATATGTAGGAATATTCAATCATTGGATCTGCTCTTTTTTCGGCAGCTCAGTATGCGGTCTTTGGCAGAGCAAATTCAAACTGCTCTGTTTACAGCAAAAGTATGAGGGTGAACGGCAAAAGAGAGGCAAGAAAAAGACTCCGAAAAAATATAACTTGTACTTGAGCACAAGCAAGAACTGAATCTTATCTAGCAGCTCTAGCATTTCAACATATTAGAGGTTGTGGAGAGATCCTGCGCAAAAGCACAGTGCATTTGCAATGTGCTTGCTTTGCAAGACGAAAACTGGCTTCGGAGCTTCTCTCAAAGCATGAAATGGATGTGCTCTGGTTTCATGTTTGTAGGTTCAGAAGTTACTTTCTGCAAATAAGTCAACACTGAATCTGAACCTTCTGTTGGTATTGACAGGAATTTGACAAGTCTAGAGGTTCGCACCATTTCGCAGCCCATGCTTTGCGAAGCCCGAAACATTCTACGACTCCGCCGTGTTCACAGCGTCAATGAAGATCTGGATGGCCTGTCAGAAGCACAGCCATTGGCACGGCTGGGGCAGTCCCATTGGGCCACCATCGCCTCGTTCATGAAATCCCAGCCACGATTCCATGGCCGCAGGCCCCATGGCCAACCAACGTGGCCACCACGTTCCTGAGCCAATGGGCCAATTTTGGGGATCCAATGGAGACACTGAGACACCAAGAGCGGGCCAGCGGGCCCATGTTCACAGCTTTGATCCGAGACCACTTTGGGACACTCGACTGATTTTGATGTACTTTGCAAGGTTTGCTGTCTGCCGACAAAGTGACGGTCACCAAGAACAGCAAATTCTGGTTCTCGGCCGAAAACTCTTTCGCCCTGGTGCAGGAGCCCAGGGTTTTACCCAGAAAGCCTGGTTCGAACTTGATGCAGTTTATGGGTCAACAGGTGGCTTGACCCATACTAAAGTTACTAAAGGAATCTGACCATGACCATCCGATTTCCCTTCCCACCTCAAAGCATCGCAGTGTGTGATTGGATCCTTTGGATTGGAAGCAAATGGGGCAAAGTTGGTCCACTGACTTTCATGCGCATGAAACTCTGCACGGGGCACTTCTGCTTACTGTTGAAGAACGCACTAGTTTTCCATAGATTTGTTTGGTATAGTTCCAAATAGTTCAACAAATGCCAACCCTCAAGCCCACCAGTTTCCGTTTTCTTTGAGGCGAAGGCATCGCGAGCTGCCACTGCCAGCAGAGGTATGCTGACATTTCCTCGGCAGGGCTCAGAGCTGATGTTTATGGAAGGCCTCAAACATGCCTCGGAACACCAACAAGTGAGTTGCTCACAGTCTTTCAAAAGCGCCAGTGCCATCCGGTATTTATAAGCGGGATATAAGTTGGAAATGCCGAGATGACAGTATTCAAGTTCCAGCTTCACGATTTCTTCCAGAATCTTCAACTGGACTGGTTGCGACTCTTAGATCTATGAAACCTCAGTTCCTACTGCATCAAAGAGTCGCCATTTATCATCGGAAGCCAGGCTTAAGTCACGGTAGTAATCCTTGGCTGTGGCTTGAATCTCGGCCGATTCCCCGGTTCATGGGGGTAAACATGGGTAAACTAATTGTCACCACCTGGGGTTCATGTTTGATGGATATAGATGGATATAGTAAACTAACCCCATCAAACTCAGTGAGATATCGCTCATATGACTATAACATACTGGTATAATTATAATAATAGCCCAACAACAGCCTTGGCCACTGCTGATACGGAATAGTGGATTAACGTCACGAGAACAATGAGGTCTTTGCTACGATCCCCCATCTTGAATTGGTGCCAGGCTCCAGCACCCCGTCATAGCCGTTGAAGACGGAGACAAAATCCTGGCAGTTTCTGCTGCAGTTTATGGATCAAGCCGTTGCCGCTCTGGGACTTCCCCGGTCCTTGTCAATATCAACGATGCTGGCGACCTTCCCCGACATGATGCGCTCCATGTCTACACCGCGCTTGCGTGCCTTCAAGCAATGGGGGCCATGGAGGTCTGCCAGGTGCTGTTCACAGTCCCAGAAACTCTGCGGAAGCTCTTCAGATTCTTCAGGAAACAAAAACATCACGATATGGTTGAAAAGAAAATGATATATTTATATGATATATGTTGATATTAAAGTTAAGGATGTGATACGATAGCTTGACCAATGACTGGAAGCTTAGAATTTACCCTCTCTTAAGGAAGGAAAGTTGCAACCACAACAAGCTCATATGGGAAGTCATTTCTGAATTCCTGCTGGTTGAAACAATTCGACAAATCCCCACAAATGGGGTATGGATGGGAGACTCCTTTGGTAGATTCTAACATGAACCCATTTGCACGCACCTTTTATCCCTGCGTCAACTGCACCGGGATTGTATCGCCTGACATTCATTATCTATCCACTTCACAGGCAGAAAGTTTGTCTTCTTTGATATCTAAGATAACTAAGGATCATGAATCATTGCTGATATGTGAAGGTCGTGGGTCCTTCATCAAAGCCTGTGAATTTGGATTTGTTTCTGGTTTCGGAGCTTCGCTCGACTTCTTTCGTCCTCAAATGGAAGGCTCCAAAAGTCTAAACCAACTGAGGCAATCATTGAATGCCTCTTGCCTTTTCGTTGGGTGTGTTTCGGGGCATTGGCCGCAACGCAACAGAATGCTGAAAGCGGCTGTGATCAAGCCCGAAGATGTGAAATCTAAAACTCCAACACGTTCTATTGAATGGAAAATTATCAAGTGATATCAAGTGATGATGTGCCTGTGTGTGTGGATCGATCTTCAAGATCCCAGCCTGAGACCTACCAAAATCTCTGTCCTTTGAACCTTCAACTTTGGACACCCACACAGGCCCACATTCATGCCATATTTGTACAGATGTCTCAGATGTCTGATCCACCGCTATCCAATCACTTGGTGCCTTGGGCGACCAGTGTTTGGGTGCTTTCTACCGCTTGGCGCTGCTTGCCCAGATCATGCCATGCAAAGATCGCGGCATAGGCTGCGCCAAACCACCAGAACCTGCAATGCATCAAGGATGACAGCTGTGGACAATGACAAATATCCAAAACCAGCCAATACTACAAGAAGTATGACCTCTGTGACTTGTGAAGTGGCCTAGGCTTAGGATGACATGGATGACTTGAGAATGCAATTTCTTTCTGCCATATGAAGTCACCCAACTCACTGCCCTTTTGTGGTGCCTTGGAGAAATGCCTTTCTGCAACAACGTCTGTGCCGCGACGACTCCCAGCATCAAGGCCACAGCAATGCCTGTCTGCAGCTACAATCAGCTACAGGTGCCTCTCAAAATGAACACACAGCCAGCCTCCTATCCAGATTATCCAGCTTTTGAAAGTCGTGACCCAGTGGCCCAGTGGCTCTTGTTTCTTCTTGGGCTTTGCAATTCTCCCTTTAAGAACAACATCTCCCATGACTGGCCTAGACTTCGCTTTGCAGCTTTCTGCCTTTTGGGATCGACCTGGCGACCACAAATGAGGTCCACCAAAAGGTTGGCCAAACTGTTCCAGTGACCCGTCAGCATGTTGGTCACCTCGGCATTGCGCGGCTTGGACTACGGAATATCGGGAATATCATGGGTGTTGAACGGCCTGCAAAAGGACCCAAAAGATATCCTGGCACATACCAAACCTGCGGAGCCGATTCTTCTGCATTGATCCCACATGGGACAAAAGGCGTTCAAGGCCCAGGCACAACCTCAGGACCACTGGAGGAAAATGCATTGGCCAAGCCCGCGCCCAGCGCAAGCAGGAGCAAGTGCCACTGCGTGTTCCAGTGCCACGATCTGGGCACAAGAAATTAATACGTCATTAGTCGTGAAGGGAACCTGAAGGTCTCAAAAATTGCAGTGGGAAAAGGAATGAAAAGGAAACATAGGAAACATAAGACCTCAGGAATCATAGGAATCAGGACCTACGATTTCTTCCCCGGTCCAACTCCAACAACCTGAACAAACATATCTTTTTTCACTGCCAACCCGAAGCTACAAACTTTCTGGTCAGGCACACAGCATCAGCAGCTGAGTGTGCCAGGAAAATAAGCCTCAGATCGCCAGAATGATTGGATGGTCTGTACTCTGAAAGATCCATCAAGCTGAATCAAGCTTCATACCTTGCTGGTCATTTCCTCATCTTCCTGGTGGATCCATCGAGGATCTCTAAATGGCACAGCATGGCACAGCACGGCACAGCCAGGTCACGGGGAAGTGATGGCAAACTTTCGGGCTCCCAAGCGCAAGCTCGCCAGCCGAAAGATGGCCACGCCTGCAACCTCAGTCCAACTGATTCCAACGTGATTCGAATTTCTGGGTCTTCAAATGTCTTTAATCTTGACCCGAACCGTCCGAACCGGCAAATTTCCACTTTCTCTGCACTCTCAGTTTGCAAGTCTACCTGGTGACAGCTACTTGCATCCATGGAACGTAGTTCATCAACATACTTGCAACGAATGCGAATTTGGTCCAGCAGGCAATTGCAAGCGCTTGACCAGCGATGATCTTAGTTGCACGGGGCATCATTTTCGCTTCGCTTTAGTCCAATCATTGGGGTGTCTTGGACGCGGTAGTCAGTTTAGAACTGTTGGTAAAACTGTTGGTACTTCTAGAAAAGCAGGCTGCTCTTGCAGTCGGTTCTACTACTACAAGAAATGGCTTGCAGTCGGTGATCAAAGTAGGGCTTGTTTCGTGGCAAAAAAAAACTGCTGAAGAAGCAGCCTGCCATGATGTCCCAGGATCCACACACGGCCCACAGCCCCACAGCACTTGTACATGCGACCGAGCTGCACTATTTCCTGTCATCATGTTGGTATAACCTCGTTTTGGCAGCGCTATGACAGTTGGCATGGCAGTATATATGCCGAGACTTGCTGCAAATTGTCTTACCTAATGTCGCGGTTGAATCTAAATCTGCCCAAAAAAACAGGATATCATTGGTTAATAGGAATTACCATAATGGATTGTCCTAATTGTGATCATCCTCAATATATTGGATAGTATAACGTATAACCTATACTGTCACAGTAACTCCATCTAATCCTCAATCAACACGCAGTCGCTGCTGCCCAGTCACAGCGGTACTTCGTGCAACACACCGCATCCACTGCCCCAGCCAGAAAAGCCAGGCTCCCCATGGTCATTGCGCCATTGGGAAGCAAGCCCTTAATCACTGGCCTGGTGTTTCACTGAGCTGATGATGGAAGGTGGCAAGACCACTTCTTACTAAGTTGATGTTTGCACTTTTGATCGTTTCTGAATGGTTCCTTAAATAAAAATCAATGAAAGTCAAGAAATCTTTGGTGCCTGTATAATTCTCAACTACGGATGCAGCCACAGAACTTTCTTGCCAGATCTGCGTGAAGATCAACGTGCTGTGGCTTCTGGCGCCTTGAAAACTGCCAGGGCACCGAAAAGCTGAGATATTCTGCCCTTGCTTAGACGTCAAAAACTGAGAGAGTTCTTCATACCGCTAGTTTCGTGGCATCTTGGCACGGCATCGAAGGACAAAATAGATCAAAGCGGGCTAATACAACAGATTAAATTATACAACAGTTTCAGTATACAACAACGTTGCGTGACATAATGTTACACATTGAAATCCTGTGGCGAAATGTCACACCTTCATCGAAAGGATCTCACTTTTTTGGCCATGTTAGACCATGTTGGATGGTGATCTGATGAAACCAACGCGATTTTCTCCCACCTTTGGATCTTGCTGACAAATCTGGCATGCGGCTTCAGGACATTGGACCTGTCAAACTGATGAAACAATCAGCATGGGGACAGGTTTGGATGAAAGCAGTGCACATGGGCAGAACCTATCAAAAGATCATATTTCTTTTAATGCTTTGTTTTTTTCACCGGCCAGTGGACACAGGAAGGGGTGTGGATCCGCTGGGGCGGAAGTCCAAAGGTTCTGTCCACGTGACTCTTTCCCCACACCCCATCGGTCAAGCTTCAAATCAAATTGGCATCTCTGAGACAAACTTTGCGAATTCCAATCACTGTGTACCTTTCTGCTACCGTTATGAACGTTCAACTCGAATGTCTTGTGTAAGGTCTGAATTCATTGGACATAGCGAAGCAGAATGGATGCCTATCGAATGGCTTCAATTAGAATCTAAACATAAACACTACAGACCATAAAATGCACATGGTGGAGAGATGTACACTAGAGAGCAAATTTCAGCTCATTGCGATTCAAAGCTCATGCCATTCATGAGATTATTTGTTCTTTCATGTGTTTCATTTAAGTTTCACTGGTTCTTGCTCTTAATGAAATTTGCGCGGGTTGATTGGTGCAGACCGTAAAATCCAATGTTTCTTTTCCACATTCAGATACAGGAAAAAGAACTGCAAGGTTGTGTGCGGTTCAGTAAACACACACTGGCACCTCCCACATGCAGCCGATTCCGCCGTGACTACCTCAGAAGTTATGAGCAACTGGGTGTGTCCTTGAAATATGGATCCCATATTACAAAAATTCGTTGGGAAATTTGGAGGACCATAATTTTAAGACCTAAACTGAACATAACTGTTTCCACGGTTGAACTTAGATGTGGACACCGCAAATGATATTACAATCCCCAGCTTCTGAGTGCTGCACATCACGGCATTTCCCTTTTTGCGCTGCGACAAAGCTTCGGCATGGTTTACATCCACCCACAGTCAGTGATAGTCAGATAATGTCTGTCCACCTTCACAATTACAGAGCATTTCATTACCACGTTTTAAGATGTTTTAAGCCCTTTTAGAAACTGTTTCATGATTTGCCAACTTTTACCAGCAAGATACCACCAACATTCACTTTTGGTCAGAAATGCTGACCAGTGAGAAAATTCGCTGAGGTACTCTTGAGATCTGCAGGTCAAATGCAGTGTTGGGCACCAGCTGTTCCGACAGAACTGCAGCTGCCAGGGCACGGCATGGCAGCCACATGCGGTCGCAGTGGCGCTTGCTGTTGCGGTTATGATACTCTGGGTGGCTGCAGTGGGGTGTGGATTTTTATTGATCCTCGAACCATTGCTGGACATGGTGGATATCATTGCTCTATGCGCATGTCCAACTCGGGAGCCGAAATATTGCCAACCCTTTCTACAGCCGGTAGTCTGATCCAAGTCATCTTGTCGAATTTGAACACCAAATTCCAGTCGCTTCAGCATGCACGATGCACAGCTAGTTTTGTCAATGCTTCTGAACGATACGTGTCCTCAGGTTGTGCTATCAGTCCACTGCATTGCCTCCTCAACTGGTGCCGCAGAGACAATTGACCACTTGAGGTTGTAAGCCAAGTAGGCCTGTGCAAGTCTAGGAGTCTAGCACATCAAACGAAAAGTTGGACTACATGATCGTGTTCTGTGAGTACCTGGCTCACCTTTGTGGCTCTGAGAAGGTTTGACACGCAAGAGGCAAAAGCATAACAAGAATCATGACAGCATGTAAGAAGACAGCATCTAAAAACTCTGCGCATTGACATTCACAATGCACCTATTGGACCTATTGCCTTCAGACAGAGAAAGTCTCGCAGATCTTCGCCTGCCAGGTCTCTTCTGAGTACTTAAAGTTCATGTTGAAAACCTCAGCGGAATAATCTGCCCATCTGCCATTGGCAGCCTTCATAGCTTGCACCAAGCAGCTGCGTCATGGACGCCACTAAAGTGAATGGCCCCACACAGCAACGGATCTTGGCTGTAGTGGCCACAATAATTGGCCAGGATGATACCACCTGAGGTTTCAACAAGAAATCTATGGACTTCTGCACTCGCAAATCATGACTTTGTGAAAGTGATTTGCCAGCTTTGGAAGACATGCACCAGCTAAATGCAAGCCTTACAGTGCCTTACAGCATCTTGCAGCTACCTTCCAGTGTTCCTTTCTGATTCACTGGTACCTTTCCGAATTCCTAGGTTTTTTTCTGTGGATATCCAGTCACCTTTCCAACCCAAAAAAACCTGTTGGGGCCAAGTTACCCATGGAATAGCCAGCAGCAAAGAGCTTGGCTTTCTGGCCTGGTCAGCTTCCCCCACAGGCTTGCTGGAAATCGGCTAAATATAGTGGTGAAATATGGTCAAATTACCAATGTTCCCGGTTGTGGTTGAAATTTACCTATGGGTTGGAGCAACTCTGCAAAATGGGATGGTACACTATGAAATATCGCACATTTTGTGGGTCTATGGCTGCTCCATTTTAGGAAGCCATAGCCGTGTTTTCTACAAAGAATTGACCTGTTAAGCTTCTGGAATGGAAAGGTGCCCGCCTGAGGCCGTCTCCAGGCAAGAATGCCTAAGCCCCCCAGTTCGCTTTTCTCTGAAATCCTCCCCCCACAAACAGAAACCCTGAACAGTCTCCACAACGCCAGTTTGGCAATTCTTGATGCGAGCAAGTCTCATTACTTCCAAGGTCTGTCGCAAGTCCGTGACGCGCGCACCATGAAAGAGATTCTTGTTGACTTGCGTATCCATGGTTCCTGAGACAGGAGTCTCGTAGAAGATTCACCTCCAAATCACTTGGTTTAATAAATGGATTCTTCATTCCCTGGTATGGATTAAACCCTCCCAGCAGTCCAACATGGCAACTGAAAATCCCTACATGTTTCCAGGAAAATCATCTTTGCATGAATATCAAAGATTCCCCACGCCAGCAACGTGCTTAGGGCTCGACCTCTGGCGATCAAAACCACCACCGTCATGTTGGCACCTGTCGCATCCCACACTTCGTCACTCGCTGCCGTGATCACAGCCATCAAACATTTCGTCAACACCTCTCAACTCAGACTTGCACGGTTGCAAAGGTGCCATGCCTTGCAAGAAGTCCACAGACATGACAGGACAAAGCTTTACAGTATGCTGTTCAATCGGAGCTGAGGTTTTTGTGGAGGCATACCAAAGCCATCCAAAATCTAAGCAATAGTCTCAGCGTTGCAACGAAGCTTTGAGTTGCAACGAAGCTTTGAGTTGCAACGAAGATTCTCTATGCCATCTGGCACTACATGCAGAATTTACAGGATATTTCTGAGGTATGAAGGCAAGCCATGGCAATAATTATCTGCCCAGTGGCTGCATCCGCTATGAATCCAGCAGCAGCCGTCCAATGTTGATTTGGTGCCTTGGCCCCGTCACTAGCAATGACATACCCTAACGGTAGTCAAACATGGCTGGGAAATCCCGCGTCTAGTTCGATCTTCTTCCCCACTTATAGTTTTTTTTCTTCAGATTTCCCTGTGATTTTCCCATTGTTTATAGGGGATTTAGCTAGTCATATGAGATACATAATAAGAAGGATCGCAGAGAAATGTCATCACCCTGTCGTCACTCTACAGCCAAGCTGCAAGTCCTGTGAGAAGCACTACCACTGGTGCGTCAGGATCAAAACCTCAACGGTTCTAACGGACAGCACAATGGATAGCCGGGATAGTCAACAAAAAAAGAAATCCTTCCTCCCATAGCAATGCTCTAGTTAATCCTATGTGGTGCTGTTGGTACCAACTTGGAGACCTTGACGTTGTGAGATAATGTCTTGTAGCAAACAAGTTTACTCCGAAGCCAGCTCAGAGTTCAAGTTACATCCTGTCTATGGTTCAGGGATAGTATCCGTCCGGGATAACGAATAAATAGCCCTAGACATTTGCACGTAGATGCTTGTGGCAGGCGGTCCAAAACAAACGGTGGCAACTACCACGGTTCTTGTCCTCAGCCCCAAACCGGTGTCTGGGAAGACACAGTCGAACGCAAAGCGTTCACCATCTTCAGCGTCAAGCCAGCAGCGTTCATATTGCCTTGAACGGCCATGAAAAACAGAGTTAAAAAGTAGACACTTTCTGAGGGTGACTGGCAGCTCTCAGCACGTAGCAAATTCGAGAAGCGCTTGCGGTTCAGGAGATAGGGCCTCCAGTAGGCAGCCTTGCCCATGCTGGAGATATAAGCTAATTGCCTATCATCATCATGATGTGTGTGTGTGTGCGGTCAACAGAAGGCTAGCCTCTGATACTAGCTGGATGATGCTGGATGTATGTATCATTATGTATCTATGTACGTACGTATGTACGTATGTTTGACAGTATGGAGATGGGACCGAATGGAACCTACAAACACGCTGTTGTGACTGTGCAACTCTCATTGTCAGACAGAGATCACCGTTGAGGTTGAGGTCGCGGCAAAATTGTGCACAACTCCCCAGACAGCTGCCACGGACATGGCACAAAGCTTTTCAGCCACACCTGTCATGCGGTCGAATCATTGCATGGACAAGGTCTGCTTTCACTCGTGACTGAACCAAGAATGGACAAATTGAATTATGCTTTTCAAGAATCAACATATTGGGTCATATTTCCACCACGAAACTCAGGGGGCAAATCTGCCCCTGGCCATGTTCTGATTCAGACTGCTTCCATCTCTACCATTTGATTTTGGGGGTTAAATGGGCTCGTGCCATTTAGTCGGATTTTAGGCGCTACAGTCTTTTTGACCATGGTACGAAATGGACGTTGTTGATTTTGACAGGACAATTCCTGGACCAATTAGATGCAATTTCGTGCCAAATTCGCCGCAATTAGATGCAGTTTCACATGTTCGTTTCGGTTGCACGTGCAAAGGATTCTTGTTCATCATGTTCTCCAAAATCAAGACTCCAATCGACTAACTGTTTCTGTTTCAGGTTTGAAATCTTATTTTTGGCATTTCCCAATCCAGATATCTTTGACATGCAGAGATTCTTCACATGCGTCATCGAGATTCAATCTGACATGTTGCTGTGTTATGTAAACAACAATGAAACCCCGGCGAAACTATCAGAAATGGATGCTAACGGGATAATCCCCCTATCCATAAGAACGACTGTTCTTGTGGGGTAACATGTAGCGGCTGTGATTTTCCCTTACCAGTGAGGATGAGGTAACACTCAGCAGCCACCACGGCTCGGACCTCAAAGGCTTGGCGAATCCCCTCGTTCCTCTTTGCATTTTGCCCTCGTTTTGCTGCATAAAAGCCGGCCTGCCACTGGCGACTCGGTGAAAAGACCTAGAAAAATGTAAGCCCATCGAGATCATCATCACATGTTTGAGGATGAAACTGATGGTACTGATGGAACTGATGGAACTGATGGAACACGGAAATCATTGAATGCTTCAACCAAAGCTTCCCAATCATAACTTTTTTGCGGAGCCTCAGTCTTCACCTCCAAGAAAGCACTACCACCAGGAAGCCCCCTGGGAGAACGAGGACACCACAATCCCATGGATCGAACTCACTGCACCCTGCCTGATCCCCGCCACCAAAAATAGTAGGCCAGTCATGATGCGCACAGGCCGTTGCCACCAACCACCTTCGATGCTGAGATGTGTCACCATTCAGCTTGCATCATCTGCACTAGCAGAATCACACTTGCTGTATCGGGCACCAAAACACATCTACCCATGTATTTTGTGCGAATTTCGGGCATGAAACCAGCCATTCAGAACTATCTCGCATGCTAAGATCCTGACCCAACAGAAGTAGGACAAGACCAAGGAAGATCACTGCAGCATCACGCACCAGTTTGCAGCGCCAGGCCGCCAGAACCAACGGCAGAAGCATATCCATCTGGCGCAAGAAGGAGGTCAACTCCTGCCAACAAAATATGCAGAAAATGTGATGGTTTGAGTGAAATCTTGGGACATATTGCTAGAAACATTAGAAACCCATGTCTTTCAATCATCGCAGAAAGAGGGTTTTTGTGAAGTCTCTGTTGTGTAAACCAATTCTGAGACCTGTTGAATTCCAAGATCCGCTGCAGGAATTCATGTGGCGCTGCAAACGAAGATGAGTTCGATTGGAATCCATGAACCATCTGAGGTCGCTCCGGCGGCATGGACTTCTCTGCATTTACCGTTGGCGCCGCCTGGGGCCCAGCAGCCCGTACCAGTCTCTTTTGCTGTGGATAAAGCCTTCATTCAGAGAGATGATCCAAACCATCAGAAGGCAACCTTCCAAAATCATGCTTGAATTTCACCATGTCCAGGACATTTACTGTACCACGTATTCCTAGCTTGGGTCCGGTATTTTCCAGCGCCACTCCAGGCCTTGGACCTGCCACGCAGCTCCAGCAGCAACTTCGCATGAACCTTGTTGCAGGTCCCATGGAGCATCTACCCATGGATCACTGGTGCAGCACCTTTTCATTTTGCTGTCAAGTTACTGCCGACATGAGTCAGGGGAGAGATTGCCACTGCAACTCTGTTTGTTTGGTTTTGCCTTCAAATAACATTACATGGAAAAGTGTGAGAGCAATTTGGAGATGTCAAAAGGGGTCGCTCATCAAATGTGGACTTTTCTTTTTCTCTTCAAATCGTATCATTCTGCAGCAGTGAACTAATTCTATTGGTCTATTTACATTCCATGCTTTTCGGGGAATCCAACACACTCAGCAGCTCCATCCATTTTCTGTCCTGAAGTTCCATGTCCTCGAAGTGATTGAAACCAGCTTGAGCCATCACCAAGAACTTGACAACTCACATGTCTGACGCAGAAATCGTAGTTGTGGTGACAATTCACCGGTGCTGCTTGAAACTGAAGGCATGATATCCGAGTTTCATCAGAGCTTCATCACACACAGGTCTTGCAATAGTGCAAACATACAAAAGTCAACAGGCCTTCTGAGCTTCGAATCAAGCACGCCACCTAAAGCCCCAAAGCTAAACAACCCTGATTACACACCTCCTTCATAGCATCACCCCCTCCTGCCCAGCAGCTTCAGCAAATTCATGTCATAAACAGCTGGGATTAGTATCATGTGCCACTTCGGACACTGATCACTGCAACCATCTGCCAATATCTGCCAGCTTTCACATCTACCCTCCAAGCACCCGACAGCATGCTCCACCGTGGCGCAACCCCTTGTCACTGCCAAGTCAAGGCCTAAGGAATCTCCATGACCCAATTTCAGGTGCAAGTCGAAAAAGTTGAAAGCAACCAACAAATCATAACAAATCCCTAGCCTGAGGGCCTAATTGATGACATTTCATGGATTTTCATGGCAATTTGAAGACCTTGAGAAGAAACAGCGCTGGGAAGCAGGGGCCCTGGCAATCTCGGAGCGCACTGTGGCCTGGCAAAACTCAACTGCTGCAAGACATGAGGCATGGATCGTTGTTTCTTATCTATTTATATACTACGATATATCCAATATCTATCACATATAACATATATCCATATCATGATATCTATATCTATGTACTGTGTATATATATATATATACATAATATGATATGTAAATATGTATCAATAGTAATTTGTATCATTTTATATCCATGAATCCTCAAACCTGCCTGGTTGTCCGACGACCAGCTCCTGGTCGGTGCTGTCCACCAGCAAGAACTCGTTTCCCGAGAAGCGTTCCGCCTCGCCACGGCCCACGACCTGCCGACCCCGGCAGTTGGGCGCCGAGAAAAACGAGACGCGTCGAACACCTGCGGTGCTGGCCGCTCTACGTAGCAGGTCATGCACCGCTTCACGCGGAGATGAAAATTTCTGCAGCAAAAAGCTGCAGGGAATGTTCTCGGCAAAAGGTATCCAAGATCTCCCAGTGCTTTCCCATAGCTCCTCTAACATATGAAACCTGGGATGTTCAGGTTGTCGAAGAAGGAGCGATTCCGTCAGGTCTCGAAGGACCTTCTTCACATCCTTCTGCTCCAAGTAGCGCAAGGCCTCTTGAACATGATGGTCCTGGTCAAAGTCTTCTATCTTGGCTGTTGCCATGGCGTCACGAGTACCTCAACATCCCCAAAGACCTCTTTTCATGTCCGTTGCACAAGAGAAGTGGTGTTACCTCTCGCTAAGAATCAAAGTTTTTCTTGTGGGCTGCATAGTTTGTTTTTGCTGGCATGTGAAAGAAGGCAAGGATGCCTGTCCAACTTTTTTCATGTTTTGGTTTCATGTTTGTTGGCAAACACTTTGTGCCTTGAGGGTTCAAGCACGGAGTATACACTTCCAAAAAGAAAGTAGGCAGTTCTTCCTCGAGTCGACACTTGTACCAAGAAGGCCTTTCTCTAGTAATTACATTAATTACATTGTGCAATCCAGCAAGTTGGCCTTGTATTACCATACAAATAGCACGATTGACTATTCGAATGTCAAAGATTCGCAGCCTTTTGCTACGTTTGACGGCTGCTGCAGAGGTCAGGCATGTGCTTCAACACATCAGACGCTGCGCATGATTTTTTCTCAAAGACAAGGGATTTCCATCAGTAAGTTGATAAGTTGTGTTACTTTGTGATGTTTGTGTTGCGTTTTTAGGTTTGCATCAATCAATCAAATGCAAGCATCCCACTGTCTTTCTAGTGTACGGTGGCAACGATTGCCTCGTGAATGGTGGTCGGAGTTAGGAAAAGATTCGGCCGTGTCCGGCGGCAAAAATCAGCTTCAGTCCATCATAATGAAATGCTGGACAGCTTCGAATTTCGAAGCAAAGAAGACATGCCTTGACACCAAACAAACAATCATGTTTTCTTTAAAGGATATTGAATTCTGTCCAGTCAAGACCTTCCATTGCTTTTAAATATAATATATATATACGTATATTACACTGTTGTACATCCCGTTCTTTTTGCCAACTGAGAGCAATCAGCCTATGGAAAGATGGGCATGTTGATCCATCTTCGCAAGCCTGCTCAGTACTCATTAACTGCTTGAAGCGCTGTCACCTTGGTGTTGGATGTTTTCCTCTTCCAGTGATAAGGTCAACGTCAATTGCAGTGCAGACCAGAGGCTAAAAAGCTGCTGATAGTGCGACATGTTCTTCTTGACTTCGTCCCAATGCTCTTTGAAAACCTGCGAGGCCAAGAACATCCGAGGAAAAGAGAAACAAGATGTTCCAGAGGATAAAAGTCTGTTGTATTAAATATAATACGTATATATAATATATGTATATATGTATAAAAAATAATGCATGATACATATCAGACATATCAGACATATCACATCATGTCGCTCCGTTCCTGTGGGTACCTTGATTCTTTTGAAGCACCAGACTCTTGGGGCTGTGCTCGCCGGAGACAGCACGCCTTGGTGAACTCGGAGAGGTTGGACAGCAGGGCCTCTATGTCTGTTGGCACCTGCGATACGCTGTCGCTGTGAAACTCCGATCTCCATGAGATGTCCAAGTTTTTTTACGCTATAAAAATGACAAACATAATCAAACATGTAGTCAATGTAGTCCTTATAAAGATTCTAAACAAAACCTCAGAAGATCCAGCTTGAATCCCTGAGAACTGTTGACACAAAGACAGCAACTTTACAATGTCTGCCTTTGCCTGCTTTTGTCAAGTCCACAGGACTTGATGTAGTCCTTTTAAACAAAGCTTCAGAAGATCAGCCCTCCCGGGAGCTCTTGACACTGCAAAGTTTATGTTTTTACTTCTGCGAAGGCCTTTTCCCTTGACACTAAGTCTTTGGAGTGGAATTCCACCCCCTAGGTGTAAGAAGTCCTCAAGACTGCGCCACTCACAGAGCAGGGTCAACATGACAAGCTCAAACAAGAGGCAGCTTCTTGGATGACAGATTAAATCATGTTGAATCATGTTGAATCACGAGCTCACGGCCCTGAACTCTATATCCTGTCCAGTTGCAGGGGAGTGGGCATCGTTACCTCTTGGATTTTAGGAGCTTTGTCCTTTTCCCCTACCGAAACGACCTATGTACACCAAACTTCATCGCCACGTCGCGTCGCCGCAGCGCCGCAGCTCATTTCTTCGCTTTCTGTGGCTTCTGCTTGGGCTTCGATTGATTGGAAAGCTTCTCACGATCCTTGCTACTTTCTTTAAGCTTTTCCTTCCTTGGTCGCGAGCAAAGTAGAGTCAACATGAGTCAACCTTCAAAACCAAAGTGGGACTTTGGCCCAAGACCTGAAAATACTATTAAACTATGCGCATCCATTCCCGCAATATCCTTGTGACCATAGTGCCCAGTCACCGTAGCTGCTGTTGCAACTTCTGCAACCCTGGCATTGACATTTTGCAGCTGCCACACCTCAGTCCAGAAAAACAGAATGCTGCATGTTTCTTATACCCTCTGGTTATTTAACATAGCCATGGAAAATGGCCCGTTTATAGATGGTTTACCTGGGTTTACCTATTTAAAATGGTGATTTTCAATGGCTATGTTAAATAACCAGATGGTATCTTCTTATCATATCAGCTGCTTTACTTTCAGAGTCACGTCCATCCTGAGGCCTCGTCATCAGTTGGGTCGGCTCCTGCTCTGGGATAGCCTGTCAGCCCCAAATGCTAGTCAAACATGGAAAGGGCTGGAAATCCCTCCAACCAAATAGCCACTTAAAATCATTGAAATGGGAAAATCCGCTATAAATGGTGGATTCGATGGATGTTCCATCACCTATTTTCGAAACACTATGGAAAGAGCCAACTGAATCAACAAGGCCTGCACCAGCAGCTTCCAGCTTCTTCGTTCAATCTGAGCAAGCGACGGACAGTAGCGGCGATTCAGTTGATGATTCAACGTCCAAAAAGTCACAGGAGGACCAGCAAGAAAAGACGTGCCCATATGCAGAATTGTGAATCGTGTGGATCTAAATGGGCTTGCAAGCCACAAACTTCAGCTCTCTAAATCCAATTCCATCCAATTCAGAGTTTCAGCACGTTTCAGCCATGGCCATATGGCCATATCCCTTGTGTCAGCGCTGACCGCTGACCTGTTCCTCAAAAATCTTTAGACAGTGCCGTGCAGCTTGACCCTTTCTTTGGTTTCCAGGCCTGGGCGGACAGAAGGTTTGTCAGAAAATTGGCTACCCATCAGTACCACAATGTACCCCATCTTCCAATGAAATTATCATCATTTTCCCATGAAAATAGCTATTTGATGCTATTTAAGTGGGTATCCCCTATTTTCAAACAAACCCAATTCAAGCACGCAATCATGTTCCACTTAGTCTGGCAGCCCTGTAATGCACCTTTCCCACACTTGCCAGAGTCGGAAGTTCCACGGATTGTATTTGCAAAACGATGGAATTGAATTGACGACCATCTCTACAGCGGCCCAAGACACTGAGAGCTAGCCTATGCTACGATTATGTAAGTCTCTTGGCCAATGAGAATCAAATGTCTCTGCAGCGGACTGACCCTTTGTCAATCGCAAATCCCAGTCCAAAGGAAATTGGATTTACAGCAAGCACGCCCAGCAAGCTCAGCAAACGGCTTGCACTCTGGCGTCTGATACCCGGCACCTCGTCTGCATCTCCAATGTACCGGTATGCCATCGTCAAGAGGTAGCCCTCAAGACCACCTACTAGGGCAAAGCAAACAATGTAGACCTCACCGCCAAGCTCTGATTTCCAGAAGTCGACTGACCTTAATTTCAGAAGTAAGTTGAACCAAAGGCTCAAGCAAACACCGACCAAGCTCAATGTCACAAGCTGACACCTCACAGGTCTGAGGGCCGCACGCTGAGAAGAGTCCCAAAGCACAATCTGCAATAAAGACTGCTGATGTAATCTGGATGGCACTCAAGATATTGAAAAGAAGCCTTGGGCAGGCCACAGCTGTGGACAAAAGGGAGCCCACTGGGACTGCAATCATCGAGCTTGTGAGAGACAATCTGTAGATCCTTTTCCCCTGCGATCCATGACAGGAGTCAGGGTCTGCCATGGCAGAACCAATCTGCCCTAGGGAAGCAGCGATTCCCCATTGTGCCACTTGGCTCAGAGTAGCCAAAATCACTGGTAACACTAGCTTCCGCGGACATGCAAAGCCTTCCAAGCAATAGGCCCTCTTGGACTTTCTGATCATTGCCTCCCGCACTTCCTCTGAATCTGACCCCATGGTTTGGGAGTCATCCGACTCATCTTCACTCTCAGACAGTGTTACCGTCCCTTCTTCTTTGTCGACCTCGTACCGAAGTCCCGTGCCAAAGTACATGATGCTGGACCAAGCAAGTAGACCGCAAAGCGAAAACACCGCATAGATGAAGAACAGTGTGGAAATTGAGAAGGTCAGATCACCAGACCCAGGGTGTGGATTTTCCGCTTGCCCTATCAAGCTCGTGACCAAGCTGGACACATCTGTTCCGGCACGAACTGGTGCTACCAACCAACCGGCGTAGTAGGTGGCCACCATTGGGAAGAGTAAATAGATCGTAAAGTTTCCGATGAATTGTGCTGCAACCGCTGCCCCCACAAAAACAGGGTAGTCAGGAGCCCCCGCGGACCAGAAAGTGGATAAAATCAGAAAGGCTACCACATTGAGAGCAATCAGCGTGGTTACCCCAATCTGCTCTTGTCTCATGGTCATACAATGTGGACACCAAATGTTCCAGAAAGCATAAAGCAAACCTGTGGACAGGCCTACTGAGCCCTGAATGATGGAAAACTGACCATATGTCTTTCCATCTTTCTGCAAGGGTTCCTCGTTGGCCATAGCATTAAAGAGCGCGTTGATCAAGAGAAATCCGCATCCTGCACCAACTGTCAGGAAGGACACAAAGGTAGGGACAGATTCCAGCATTTGAAGATTTTCAATCGTTTTTTTTCGACGCATCATGGTCATAGATTGAGGTTCTTGGGATTCTCAGCAATGAGTCCTTGAGCCAAACTGACTGCAGGAGCAAGTCAAGTCTTCCACATGGAGGGTTTAAGGACTAGCAAGTTGTTCACGTTCTCTGTTTAGCCACCAATTTATTGTTAGCTCCCTCAAGTCAATGTGGCATCGATATGACAAGCAGCGAGAAATCTCAAGCTGACTGGGGTTTGGGCGTGAGCTTGATGCGAAGATGATAGGGACCTGGAAAGCTAAGAAGGACTTATATAGGTGTTTCAACAGTGCAATGTTCAAAACTGAGATATGAAATGATGATGAAAGATTGGATTCAAACAAGTTGGATCCATGTTCATGCCATTTTTTGACTTGAAAACAATGCAATATATCAACAGAGCCACTATATATATCTGATTGGAGACACCTGAGCCTTTCCAGTCATCATGTCATCCTTCTGATTTACCTGGCCTCCCAAGGAACAGTATGGAGCAACCATTGGAATCGCGCAAAGCACCTCATCCTGCCCAGTGGCGGTTTGAACATGTGCCAAGGCTGGTACCAACAGCAATGTGACTGCCAAAAGAATTGCTTTCAAGGCCAAGAAATGAAAACTGCCAAGATGGTCCATTGCATGATTATTTCTAGTCTGTGGATGTAGGCAAATTGGAAACCCTGAAAAACTGCACTCCTCCGGCTGCGGATGACCAGTCAGCAAATCCAACTGCGGCGGAGGACACCTGTGCTACGCTCCAGTAAGTTCCATTCGACACCGGTGCGGCGAATAAAACCAGGCGGCCAGGCGCATCAACTGAACCTCCATCTGCGTCACAACCTGCTTTCAAAACCTTCGAAGCCAGGCAGCTAAAGCTCAGTTTACCAGGACCATTTCAAGGACGCGGCATCGAAACACAGGTCGCGATGCCAGAAATTTATAGAAAATCCAAGCCTCCCCTTCTCGCTTGTTAGGCCTCAGTGTGTCAAACTTCCACCAAAAAGAATCTATGCCACCTTTGCGTGGCGTCCCCTGAGCCATGGCTCAATGGCAAGTCCCCAACGCTGGCTTCTGCCGCTTCCTGTGATCCACGGAGCTGCGATCAGCAGCATTTCCTTTCAAATCCTCGTGGATTTGCTGCAGCTTCCAGTGCGGGTAAGGAAAACTTGCAACCCCAAAAAAAAAAACGCAATGAGCTGTTTTAAATGCCTGAATACTTTTGTGGCTTGTGTCAAGGGGGAGTCCCTGGCTATCACCTGGGACAATAATCTCTACACCACTGCTGTTCTCTCCCGCCTTGGCCTCCTCATCACCTGTAGCTCCTGTTCCTGCCTGGTCCAAAGACTGAAAATGATCATCTGACCTTCAAAGATTTGACAAGTTTGAGGCAATTCACTGGCGTGCACTGCGCCTGCGCAGGGGGAGGAAACTCTGTACCACCAGTTCCCCTGACATTTGCTGAGATGGCACCCTAGCTCGACATTTTTGGACCAAAGGTGTTCTCTTTGATCATGTTGGGCCATCTGGGTGGGTATATCGGTATATCACCTAAATAAATCTAAATATATAACAATTTCAATTTCAATAAGGAAAATAACTATACAGACTATACACCATGCATGGGATTTTGGGGATGCTCTACTGTCAGACAAACCCAGCTGAGATCATCTCAAGAATCTTTGACCGTTCTGAAAGACATCCTGCATTGCAAAGGTTGGGTGATGTCCAGCAGAACTCAGGCAGGTACCCGGAGGCTGGAGTTTCGGAGCCTTCGACACCTGTCGATGCAAAAACTTGCGAGAAAATCCGCCCGCACCGAAGGTGCTGGGGCGTGATCTTCCGGATGGCACTCGTAAAAAGGTTACAGGTTTACCTGGGGGGGGGGGTGGCATTTTTCGTCCAAAACCTCCTGTTTTTGATAGGTCGTGACGCTCGCCTTCAAAAAACACTGTAAAAAACAGTACGGAAGACACCTGTTCGTGAACGCGCCCGTCCAAAATCGGCAAGCGAAAAGTGAAAAAAACCCGTGTTTTTCAACTTTTTGACCTCAATTTTTTGGTTTGCAACATCTTTTTTTGCGGTTCCGCAGGTGGCCGGGCCCGGAGGCGGATTTTTGAGTTTTTGGACCCGTTTTCGGACTGATTTTCGTCGTTTTGTGATAGCAGAAACACTGGTTTTTACAGTGTTTTTCTGTTTTCTGCATGCTTGACGGCTAGCTTCAAAACTTCCAAAAACCTCGTAAATTACGCTGTTTTATGTTACGGTGTGAATGAAAACATCGTAAATACCAGTGTTTTTTGACGTTGGTTAAAAAAACACTGTAAATTACAGTGTTTTTGGCCACCTGACCCTCGAAAACCATGGTATTTGCAGTGGTTTCTGCTTCTCACCGCGCAAAAACACTGTAAATAACAGCAATTTCGCCGTTTTTTCATGTTTTTCGTTATTTTTTGAACTGTGTTGGTCCGCTATACATGGCTATCAAATTCTTCGCGTTTTTTTTTCCGACAATCGGTACTTTCGGATGATTTTGGTCTCAATGGCCGACATCATTGGCAGTTACGAGCGGCTGCCCAACGATGCGGTGCGGGCGGTTGCCGTCGCGAAGCGACGTGAATATATAGGTAGAGAAGGAAGGTTGATCTGATGTTTCCAGCACTGGTGTTGTGTACAGTTCTGGCCTCCTGCTCTCTTGGTGACCCGACCTGGGAAGCACGCAATGAGACTTGGGCCCTTGACCGCAAGTGATCCTGTGATCCACATCTGTTGGGGATCGCACTGCCAAGAAGCGCAAGTCGAAGCTCTCGCTCTTCCTCGTCCTAATCACTTCACATATGGGAGTGGCCACGAGCCTGTCACTGCCCCCATAGTGAGAGTTTCCAACTTCGCTGAAGAGGTGATTCACAGCGATTCCTCGTCCACTTGTTCCCCAAAATTCTGGTGTGGCCTCAAATGCTGCGGATGGCCCAGCCTGATCTGCATACTTCTCTTTGATCTTCTTGGCCTCTGTTTGACTGCCGTGGTCAAAGCGGCTCAAAGACAGCACTCTGCTGGCCGTCCAACTGATGCTGTGCGCCTTTGATCTTTGCCCTCTTGGCAAAGGTGCCTGTGATGGCCTGGAAGTCGGAAAATCTCACTCACACTCAATCCTGGTGAAAGCAAAAGATGTGTCCCAGGGCTGAACCGGGTGGGTTCCCAACTGGGTTGTTGATCTATCTGCGAAACATGCCAGGTGCTCCCTTTGGCAGTCTTTCCAGGCTTGGCTTTGGAAGTGTCAACCTGTTGACAGGACGTGGGACGCACTGGGAAAAAAAATATTTGTTACGACACTTGACCAGTCTGTCGAGGGGCAAAGCGTCAGAATACAACATCCGTGCCCTACCAGACGCCAGAGGAAAGAAGAAAAAATGCAGCGACGCTTTGTTACGTGCTGAGGCTGCCTTGATGTTTCAAGCTTCGGTTAAAACTCCAGCAGGGCGGCAGCAAATGTAATGAATCCCGGGTACCCAGTTTACAAGCCTTTCATGCGTCTGGATTTAACTTTACGACAAGTATAGAGTGAAAACCAGCCATCCCCCGCCAAACGGAGGACTCATCTACCTCAACACAGTCTGCTTGATCTTCTCCATCTTTCCTCTGGCGCCTGGCATAGCCAAATCCAGAGATGGAAGCTGTCGAAGCTGTCTGTCCAAGAGGGTCTTCTTGCAATGGAACTGTCCGGGATTGGGCAGCCGCAGTGTCGGATGATGTCGGAGCTATCACTGCACCAAAACACCAAGCCAGACCAAACTTTGACCATTTCGAATATCATCTGAAACTAATTCCCCGCCTGCGCTCCGCTTTTGAAAGGCGCACCTTGCCTCCTTTGTCCACCTCTTTCGCAGCATCGGCATCGTTGGCATCCGTTTCCTTCGGCTCAATGGGCTCCATTTCCGACTCATTGGCTTCTGCTTCCTGCTCTGCTTCAGCTTGCTCACCACTGGCACCTCTGCGTTGGATTTTCTTTTACGTTTTAGGCGACTTGGTGACTTGGCACTGTGCAGATTTAGTTTGAGGAAAGCTCAAGATCAGCCAAGATACCCTGCTAGGGGAAGTTGAAATGTCCCATCCCCCAAGTTATTTCAAGTCAAAGAGCTCTCTTCATTTTCCTCATGGATCTCACCATGTTCTGCTGCATCACCATTCTCTTTCTCGTCAGCTTCAATCTCTACCAACTCCTCCTGAAACCAAGCGAGGAAAGAATAAAGTCTCAAGATGAGACAAAAACTCTTCTGTCCTTCTCATCCTGGTTGGCCATGGCTTCCAAGTATCTGCTTTTCCGCTCTCCCTGCCCAGAACCAGACGCCACCACAAAAATAAAATAAAGGTTTTGAAATCCTAGGAATGTTTCAACTCCGAAACACTTGACTTGGTCCAGCTCTGCAAACGAAAGGGTCTGCCCAAGTTGACCCCGCCAAGCCTTGTGGCGCTCTTGGCAACTCTGTTCAGAAACTTGGAACAAAACGGTCATGCCCATCCTTAGTGCAAACCGGAGCTGGTGTGGCGTGTCAGCCGTGTCAGCCTCCTGGAGGGGCCTGTATCAGGGCCCTGGGGTCCCGGCTCAAGGTGCAAGGGCGGCATGAAGTTGCGCCGGCCGGAGATATAGAAATCGTCAATCAAATGATGATCGCCCTCGGGCGGCATACCTTCCACCCAGAAAAAAAAAAGAAACTTTTGTATAACTTATACATCTTTCCACCAATTGGATGAAAGGCTTGAAATGATCTACAGAAAATGGATATTTAACTATTTTTAACTATGCATAACTACTAAACATTACCCATACCCCGCCTCGGGTCACCTGGTCAAGTGGCACCCACCATGCAGAGATGACGATCTGTTTATCCCAGGCGCTACTGTGACACAAGGCCAATGTCCCAGCTTCGCGCAACGTGGCTGGAGGCACCTCTCCACCTGAAAGAATGGAGTCCAAAAATGGAAACCGACAAAAATGAGGATTGAACCATCATTTATAATGTTTGAACCGTCAAAAATAGGGATGTTCTCCAGAAATCCAATTTCGGGAATTGACAATTCTGGATATGGATAGAGATGGGGGACTGACTCAAAACAGTACTTGAAAATACGTTTGGGAGCTGGAACCAAAGATTCCACAAATTCAAACGCTTTCAGATCTTTTCATAATTTCTACTGGGATCTTCAATTTGAGAAAGCCGTTATCATTTTGCTGTATCAATGGCTGCCTATCCAAAGCCAGGCCCTGCCACAATCAACGACAAGTGCCTGAGGGATTGCGCACAAAGCAAGTGCGTGCACCAGCTACATCAGCTTGCACAAAGGCGTCATTTGGACCCACGTGCTTCAAGAAGAGTTGCTCCGTTTGGATCGCATCATGGCCAGAGATGACCAAATAATTCCTTGGAACCAAGTGACTACCAAGTGTGTTGCTGAAACACTGAGAACAAAGATTCAAGGATCTGGTAAATTTATGGTCCAATGCCAAGTGTCTCTGATGATATAAACCAAATGTACTTCTCAAACCACCAGTTCTGACGCACACGGCGAATGGTTTGCTTCAGGTCAAACTTTTGCATATCTTGATGGGCCTTTCGCTCAGCACTCTTGATTGCAGCCTCTGCGTGAGTTTGGGTCCTGCAATCACTAGGATTTCATCAAACCCACCAATAAACCATCCCCAATATGATCAATATGACACATAGGTGGTATACACGGTATACACCACCCCAAACGGTAGGAGTACCATTGGGTTTACCACATTACCACATTACCTGCATTCCTGTCTGGACGTCAATTTTGTCAATGTCCAACCACCAATAAAAAGCCTGGCTCCAAAAGGCTCCAAGTCCTGGAGGTCTTCTCTCTAGTCTCCTTTCTTCGAGCATGAAGCCGTGCAACATTGGCATGACCTGACAAGTTCAAATCCAAAGAGACCACCTCCATAGGCCGATCTTCAGTACCCTCTGCTTCAACCTCTTCGACCTCTGGATCTGCCAAAAGGAGCTTAAACTCATTTTGCTCCAAATTCAGAGAGTGGATATGCTCTGCAATTGGATGTCCCATCCTTTGCTGCCGTTTCACTTCCCGCCAAATCTCACTCCAATCTACTTGCGAAGCCACCATGGCATTCAACATGGCTAGAGCTCGATCTACTAACCCCACATTTGTCTCAATGAGGCTGGCCTTGCGTTCTGAGGCTTGTTGTTCAGCCTCCAGTTCTTGCAGTCTCCGCCCCTGATCCGCCCGAATTCGATCCACTCGTGCCAGGACATTCTGTGCATGCTGAGCTTTTAACTCCACCGCCTTATTTTCTTCCAGCTGGGTGTAGAACTCATCGACACAACGGTGGAAACTTGGAAAAGCCACCAGCAACTCTGGATCTGCCACAGTAGGTTCCACTGCACAAAACTCCTCATTGGCAAAGGTAGGCTCAGCTTGGGCAGCTCCCACTCTCTTGCGGACGATCCAGCCCGGGACGATGGGAGCTCCAGCTTCCGCAGGAGCGCTGCTCTTGATTTCCGGCTCCAGAATGGCTTCCTCCTTGGCGCTGGGACCATTGAGACCATCATCTTCGTCTTCTTCATCCTGGGGGAGATCCTCCTCTAGCCTTGCGGGCTCCAACTCCGGCATGCTTCCTCCACCCAGATCGTCAGGTCTGGACACACTCTTCAAGGTCTCCAAGAGAAGCTCCGCGGCACTTTGCTCCAGCTCAACCAATTCTTCGAAGGACATATCTTCAATGGTGAGTTTGAAGGGATTTGGCAACGGCTTGCCGTTGGATTTATAGATTTTGGCCACACAGTTGGCACACAGCACCGGGTCCGCAAACGGAGCCAGTTTATGCAGCAAGGCAATCACCGGCATGGCGCTGTGCTGTACCTTCTTGGAGCGTTTGGCAAAGGCTGAGTCGCCACCTGGTGCCGATGAACGTGCCCAAGGCGCTCGTCAAGCCCGAAAAGCTATTCACATATGATACACATATCATGCACACATATCATGGGGGGGATAATAGTCTCAATAGCAAAATGATGAGACATTCAGTGCCAAAAAAACTGAGAGTTGTCTATAGTTACAGTTACAGTATCTCCAGCCATTCCCATTGGTCATTTCAAGACAATGAAAGATCCCACCTTTCTTCTTCTCTTTGGCGGCCCGTTCATCTCCCAGCTCCAGTTCCTTTACTTCCTGATTCTCAGCCCGAGCATCAGCCAAATCCAAAAGATCCACAATCGCATCGGAAAACTCGGCGATTGGAACCTTCAGCAGCCCTGTGGCTTTCCCAATGGGATAGACCTGACGCAGTGCCACCTTGGTTTCCTGGTCGTTGTGCACCCGAAGCAGTGCCAAAATCTGGTATTCATGGTCCGTCAAAATCAAATTGCCACTGACATAAATCTCCAGAATCAAATGAAAAGCAGTGTCACCATGACCAAATTGAATATCGATGGCTCGGTCAGCACCCAATTGCGTGATGCTTGTCAAGCGCCTGTTTCGCAAATGTTTTCTGAGCTTCATGGTGTAGTTTGATGGAATGAAGGATTTGTCTCTTTGGTACTCCGTGAGGTGGAAGCGAACTCCACTCTCCAAGAGCAACAAACATCTAAAGCCTGTCGCTGATTGAAGTGCAAAAAAAGCTTTCAAATCATTTCAAATCCCGTCTTTGATCTTTTTGATTGGCATACAACAGTTAGTTAGATAAATTGAATTCTCTGCATTTTTGAAGGAATATTTCTTGCTGTGAAAGCGGTACCCCTCCTTGAGTTTACGGAAATTGATGTCAGATGTTCTAGGAAGCGAACCGACAGAACTGGCTGCTACAACTGTGCCGAACCCCTGCTAAACCCACCGTAAACTTTTCTGTTTTTTTGGGGGAATCTGAGCTGTCACTGCTCATCCATGGCAACACAATGACCAGCCAAACGTCTTGCCTTTTCTCTGCAGTTTTAGCAGATACACCTTCGAATTGATGTCATAGATGTTGGTTAACTTGCAGCCCACTGCGGATGGCCGAATCGAGTTGACCTGACCAACCATGGCGCGATGAGAGACGCGTTTCTCGTTTTCTCAAAAATTACACAGCGGTGGCTGCATCAAATCCAAGACACCATGGCGCGGACATCGAGCGACGAAAAGCGACTCTTCACCATGGCTGAAAGCACAGAGCAGGCAGGCCAGAAAGGAAGCAGACTTTGGAGTTTTGCGCAGGTTTCGCAAAGATGCTACAACTTGCTACATGCGAGCAGAAGTCCACTATGTCATACTGTCCAGGCGTATTTCCAATCTGGTCAATCCAATGCTACTGGTCAATTTTAGCACCATGACAACATACCTCTCTAGCGGCCATGACATATCCACGTTTAAAGACTTTTGCTCCTGCTCATCTGCAGATGCAGCATATCAAGGAAAGGATAGCCTTATTTTTGTGGAACTGTCCAGGTTCTCGAAGTTTCCGTGCAGCGGGTTATAGCGGGTTGAGTTCCCAGCTAATTGCTGTCTCTAGTGCTCAATCTCATATTTGGAAATGGCTCCAGAGGACTAAGCGAGACGATGGCAAGAGGTCCAGACTCTTGTGCTTTCACGCCTCAATGTATTTTCTCTTGACAAAAAACAACAAAAAAAAAATGGCAAGGAAAGGCCCTAAGGCCGAATTGAAGCCCGAAGCTTCGGGCCTTGCTTAAACTGCTACACCTCTGGCAAGTGCACCTCTGACGAAGATGCCCTGGGCAGCATGACACCGCAAAATCGCAGGGTAGCATGCACCTGCAAGGCAGAAAACTATGAGAATTCTGTCCTTCACCGCGAACCAAAAACAGTTCTGCAGGACTTTTTGCCAGTGGAACCCAAGTAGAATCCCAAAAACAGATCCTGATGATCCTGTTGGAACTCGTAGTTTTCGGCTTCCATGTTTATTTCAGGGGTGTTAACGTGTGATGTTTTCGCTCGATCAAATCTACATAAGAATGTTTGCGGCCACTTTCCTGGTTTCCTGCATTCCACCTTTTCCGCACATTGCCCTGCCTGCACTGCAGTGGAATCCATGTCTGCTTTCAAAAGATTGCAAAGCTTCTCCAGAATACGCCTGCCACAGATCATTGCTTTGCGCTGCTAGTAGTTGTCTTTCAATCTCGCCAGTTTCCAATCGATAACGAGAGGCTGTTTCCAATCGATAACGAGAGCCGTGTCAAAGTAGCATTGGAGGACTCCTCAACTACATTCAACTGTTCATTCAACTGTGGTTTCAACTGTTGTTTCAACTGTTGTATCTGTTCTGTATCTCCATTTTTGGGCCCCTCAGTGAATATTTGGGGGCAACCCCCTTCCGGGGGGTTGGCACCTCATACACCGCAGACGGCGCTGGGCAGAGCCGCGAATCTTCATGACATCCTCGCAGATCGGAAGAAAAAACAGAGCCAAGTTTCAGGGTTCCCATTCTCTCAACAGAACCATACAGCCAAACTTGGAAAAATCAAAGATCCCAAATTGATCCATTGAAGAGAAAGTCTTGCTGGGGGTATTGTTTTTTGGGGAACATGACACCAGAAAACATGTCGGCTGATTCTTGGATAAAGCTTCCTTTGAAGGCAGTACGATAAAACCTCCTCTACATGGGGTATACATTTAAAAAAATCGGTGCCAAGTAAAACCAGGAATGTTATCCTTTTGAGTACTATGCCATCCATCTCATGGGTTGACATGCTTGACATCCACATATGGGTGGTCCTCTACCCAGCGGGTTGCGTCTTCATCTTCTCTTTGGGTCTTCAGTGGGCTGTCCAGCATGTCACAAGCTGCGGCAGCAGCTGCAGCTTGAACCTCTGCCAGCTCCTGCCCAAACTCCTGCATGTACAACGTGCAGCGTGCAAAAAATATCGAAAAGTCCAGGTCTCAACAGGAATGCAATCTTAAAATGGTGGATGTTTAATCAAAATACGGAGGGGATAGTTTTGGCTAGTTACTAGTTTCCACATCACTGTGCATGTTCGGCAACAGCAAACGACACGCTCCCAGAATTCAGGGCAGTCCTTTGCATCCTCCTCACCATCCGACTCTGCTGGGGCTGTATCCGCACCTGCTGCCGAAAGCAGCTTGGTGGTCTAATTGAAGGAGATGGCGAATGGTTGCAGCACGCTTTCTTCAAATAGGCACCCTTGAAGAGTCTTGGGCTTGTGACTTGAAACTTTACTGAATTTGAGTCTCTCTCCCTCTCTCTCTCTCTTTCTCTCTGTGTATCAAAAGCTGGTTTGCCTTCATACTCTGCCAAATAGTTTTGGCCTCAGAACACTTCAGCACGTCACAGAATGCAACAAGGAAAAGTGCACCAGACCAAGCACACTTCCATTTTTGAAGGCCAAAGCATGCTGACTTCTGTGGATAGCATACACCTTTTCAGCATTTGGGTGTCCTGCACTCTGATTTGATGGTATCCAGGTCGCGAGTAAAAGACTTCATTGCAGCGGAAAGCCCCTGAACCTCGAAAGCACAACTTGTGCAATGAGTCAATGAGACTTACTCCAGAGATCTCTGGAGTGGCTGGCGATGCTGAAGCAAATCTATAGTATCTTTGGCATTCTTTGGCCATGTTTACGATGAATCTTGGACGTCTTTAGTTTCGAGCAATACTGAACTAATGCACCCTTCATCAAACTGGGCAGAGTGGCCTGCATCTTTGCTATCCTCTCTGCTGGCAGCAACCTTTGTAAGACAAGCTGAGAGCCCTAAGATCTTTCCATGACTGGACGTCTATCTGCAATGGTGATCCTCTAAGTATCCAGCTCTTTCTGAAGGATTTGGGCTGCATTGGCATTGGCATCTGAACGCATCACTGATGCGCACAGGAAGTGTAGCATGGAAATGCCCTCGCTAAATTTGAAATCTCGGAGGGCTAATAGGGAGCTGATGGCAATGGCCTTCGCTCCTTTCTTGGAATCCCCGTGGTTGACGAAGTTGCCAAGCTCCAGTGCCAAGAGCATGACATTTCGGAGCATGCCAGATCCCTGGATTGCCAAACAGGCAGCCCGAATTCTCGCCAAACTCCTCATGGTTGATTTGAAGTGTAATCGTGCATTGCGCGCAATGCAAAGTACACGAACTCTGGCTGAAGATCTGCTCAAAAGGGTCAAGGGCATCACCATCTGTTCAACATCGCGCAGCTTTTGGCAATCTTCTGGAGCACTATGTTCCCGCAGCTTCTTGGCCTCATCATGCGTCGGAATTGCTTCCAAAATCTGTTCCAAGTCATCACTGCTGATGCGGTCATCCTCCCACCGCAAGCTGCTCAAAACATGCACAAGGTCTGTTGTGCTTGTGGGCATGCGCTTCAAAACAATGGCGATATTCCGAGCTCGGTGATCACTTAAGACCTTTGTTCCAATATTCCGCATTTGAGCTTTGCTCAAAACGCCAGAAGACCGGCGCTGAAGCTGAGAACCCTTTGTCTTTTCAGCTTCCAGAATCTTGGAAAGTGCGTTGAAGTCAATTGCACTGCATGTGTTCGATCTGGCCCTACTCTCCTGACTGAAGATGGTACCTTCAGCATCTGCGATGTCAACCTGTTTCCAGTACAACTTTTTGTGAAAAGGTGCCTTACTCTCGGCTTTTGCTTGTGACTTGGGAGCCGCCTTCGCAGCTGGGGCCTTTGGGGGTGGTCCTTTGGCAGGTGGAGGTGGGCCTTTCCCACCTTTGGATCCCCCCTTCGCACCTTTGGCCTTTCCTTTTCCCTTGGTAGCTGGGGGTGGACCTGGTGGACCCAATAGATCAACAGCAGCTTGGGCCCCCTGGGCCCCCTCGGCCGCTTCTGCTGCCCCGGGCCCTGCTGGACTAGCCCTGGCACTCGGACTTCCTTCAGGCTTCTGGGGCGAAGCTTTGCCAGGCAAAGGTGGACCCTTGCCCTTGCCTTTGCCCTTTGGTGGGGCTTTCGGAGATTTCGGAGACAAGGGGAAATCGGACTCTCTCATATCCTTCTCCGCTTTCAAAGATGCAATGCTTGGCATGGAGCACATGTCCTCCTCGTCCAGCGCCAGGGTTCCGTTTTCAGGCTTCAAATCTTCGTTTTCCCTGGGCTTGATCTTCTCCGCCCAGTCCCGAGCCGGTACAGCTTCGATTCCATCCTCCTGTTCAGGCTCCACCTGCAAGGATGAAACAGTGTGCTCAATCCGACGCACGTCCTCCCTGAGCTCAGCCACCTCTCGCTCCAGCCGAACTGTTCGCTCAGGCATTGCGAGGGCCTCTGCATCAGGCTCGTTCTCATCCGACAGCGATAAAGATGGCGACCTGGCTGCCAACCCAAGGCCGCCTGCCAGTTGGCCCAAAGCCTGTTGCAAACTCGCAACTTCACCAAGCGCCCGATCGAAGGCTGGTGACTTGCAGCTCGAGCTATCTGAGCTTTGTGAACTTTGCGGCCTTTGTCCTTCCTGAGAACCGCCAAGCTCTGCAGCTGTTGGCACCCCTTGCTTCGGTTGCGGCACCACCATGGGCTTTGACAGTGGTGTTTGCATCACTCCATCCATTGCTTGTGGCAGTTGTGGCACCTCAACTTCCTTCCGCAACTGTAAGATTACCCCTTGTTTTGAATGAAGATGAGGCATCACCGCCCCTGACAGATCTTCTGACAGATCTGCTGCCGCCTCCACCCGCATGGGGCGCGTGGGGGGCATGGAGGGCATGGGGGGCATGGGGGGCATTGGCATGAGCTGCTCTTGCCCAGGGGCCTGCAAAGTGGCTTGCAAGCTGCCATGTCTCATCGTCTTGGAGGATAAGACAAGGCGTGCACGATCTAGGACTGCCTGACAACAACACGACTGAGAGCATCTAGGAGCTGTGTCTCACCTAAATCAAAAGCAATGCATCTTCAAAACTGGAGCAATACTCTGCTGCCCCTTGCAATCCCTTGCCTGTGCCTTTGCTGATGTCCTTTGATCGGGCAACCGCTGCCTTGACGGCATGCGTTTATCAAGTGACACCGAAACCATCATCTGGACATCCTCATGTGCCGAGCTTTGGACCCAGGGATGGCAGTGATGAAAGATGCAGAAATGCTCGGATCCATGGTGTCAGACTCGCTCCCCACCTCACCAGTGTCAGGAGAGTTCAACGAATCTTCACCTTTGTCCTTTGGTCCTTTGTCTACATTTGTCTACCATCCGCACCTGAGAAGGCTGAGGAGCACGAGGGAGACGCGCACCTGCCACTTCACAAAGGGTCACAAAATTTTGGAACCTCCGAAGTCTGCCTTTTAGCATGCTTGGTCATCTTGGTCATGATGTTCAGTGTCCCCATTAAACTGGCAGAAATTTGGTATCACAGCGGCCTGGCCCAGCACCTGAAATCGAGGCAGGTGACCTCAGAACGCGCTTCAAGTTCCTGTAATCCCTCGTGATGAAAAAAAAGTGGAATGAAAACGATGCAGCATCCCTAAAATCATAAAATCAAATGCTTCATCGTTTTCATTGATTTTCCATAACAATTCAAAATAGCATGAAATAACAATTTTGTTGTGTACAGGGACCGGGTATACACGTTCTTGAACGGGACAGCCTTGGTGCCATGCCAGGATGATCTGTCCTTCCCTAGAGCCAGTCGTGCACGTTCCAAGGCAGCCTGAGCACAGCTGATGAGCAACGATGACCAAATCACAAGCTGAGATAAAACACATTTCTGGAAAATTAAAATGGATAAAATGGATAAAACATGAAATAATCGTGGATTAACAATAAAAAATAAAATAATAATGAATGAAATTGAATAAAATTCCGTCAAAGACAGTACCTGAGATCCCCCACCTGAGCCCTTGATATCGCGCCAGTCGCCTTGGAATCCTGGGCTTACTTTTCGACAGTCAGAATCTGACGGAATCTGATTTTTTGGTCAACACATTCGTCCCATTCCTGGCCTTGACGTGGTCAGAGGAAACCGCTGCGACTGCTGCGACTGCTGCGACTGTGACACTTGATATTTGGCTGAGTCCTGCAACGAAGTGTCTGGGTGCAACTGGATTTGAAAGCCTAAAATTTGAATGGATCTGATATGATCTGACAGGATCTATAGGATCTCATAGGCGACTCATAGACGCATCTGTGCCTGGCAAGGCAAAGCGTGAGCTTCTTGGCAACTTCGCTGCCTCACAGCACAAGGCGCTGCACAAATTCTTCTGAAGTCCCGCAGCTTCTTTGCGTCAAAATCTAAGCATTTAGCCAATGCATTCACTTCAGCCTCTGGAATGTCATTCTGACCTTGGATAACATGTTGCGTACACAAAAAAAAAGTAGGAAAAGATGTGAGACTGGAGCATGGTCAATACCATCTCGATCCATCTCGGGTACTTTGTTTCTGGGCACTCAAATTGAGGTCATAACTTAAGTCCAGCCCCTGGCAAACACAAAGACAAGCCGTTTGATGGCAAGTCATTGAAAGAGCCGTGCATAGTTACTTTTGACACTCCCGATTCACGCCTTCAAGGTTTGAAAGCACTGTGTCAAAGATCTGCAACCTCAATTTGATTCATCAATTGTGCCACCTACACTGACGGTTGGCGTTAGCGAAAAACTCACAACACTCAGAGAAGCACCCTCTGCACCACATCCAACGTCCCGGAGCTGCAAAACCTTGGCAAAATCCGTCGGCGCGACAAAAAGATTTGTTTGAATCAGTCCATTGGACATCATCGTTCCTTCCAGGAAGTGATGGAAAGTAAATTCCAAATCACCAATTGAGTTAGGCTCTGCAGAAAAGAAATCTGCAAATCCACATATGGCTGGCAAACAAACTGCCAGAATGCTTCCAGCTACTGGGGCAAGAGCTGCATGACAGTCTCTTCTTTGGACTGCCTTCGCCAGCAAGCTCACTCCAAGGTCACCAAGCCTGGATACAAAGGTATCACAGAAAAACATGGACCGCTCCACCACTGAATGGTTCTTCGCAATGGTTGCAAACTATTGCTGGGGGAAGAACGGGTTTTCAGAGAGATCCAAATCATACCTTAGAGTTGCAGCCCTCCCAATTGCAATGGAAACGAGCATTGCGAGGCAACTGCTGGGGTCAATGCTCCTTCCTTTGTTCGCGGCTAAGCGCTCCAAGTGGAAAGAATTTCAACGCGACATCCTGCAGTCGGAATCCAGTGGACCTTGCAGCTCCCACTCCCTCCACTCTCCAGCCTCTCCACCCGAAGGACCAATGTCATTTCTCGATAGGCGCAATGACCTGCGCAGTCAAAGTGAAAGCCGGTGAGTCTGATCATGTTGAAGGAATGATACAACACATATTCAACTTTACATAATCACCCTAGCCAGATCCCTAGCCTATATCCCTCTAAATTGATAGAATTGAGCCACACTCCCAATGAAGGCTGAAGGCTGTCGCAGAGCACAGAACGCCTCAAGACATGACCGCCGAAATGTTCCCGAATCCAGGCCAAGCACTCTGCCAGTGCCGCCTGGGGATGCAGTTTTACACGCTGACAGGTGATTTGAAGTCAAACCACAATCTGCTGATTCAAAGTCAAGGTCAAATGGGTCAGATGACAAGAGCACCCACCAAATTTTTGATCATCTCACAGACCAACCAGCAGGAAAAACCTTCTGCTTTTGAATTAGTTCCGCTTGAAGTCTGAGTCCCTGGCTGCTGCTGTGTCAGTCAGACAATTCCCTGACAAATCCTTGGAGCTGCAGAGTTTTCTGCCGTACTTAATCAACATTCCGTCAATAGCAAATCGACTTGCAAGAAACACTATATTTCTATACTGTATACACATACCTAGTGAATTGAGTCAATGAAGAATCAGTTCCGAACGATGTACTGGATCTGTATTCCTGCAGAACCAGTCCGCTAGCTGAAAGCCTGTTGAACTGCTGTCCTTGCCTGTGTGAATTGCATCAATCTGGGTTCTTCTTGCAAACCTCAAAATGTCAGATTGCGTGACATCTATGGATTTGTACCAAATCTGAACAAGATACCCCAACATGGCAACTTCAACTGGAGTTACCAATAGTACCGCACAAGGCGGTGGCGGAAGCTTCAAAAATAGGAAACCTATAGGAGAGATTGGTTGTTGTGAATCACGGATGGCAGAGCGAATCCACTGATGGACCGAAAGGTGCTTGAGGTCTCCTCGTTTTCTCGCTCTTTCTCTGACTATCTACCTACCTACCTACCTATCTATCCATCTATCTATTGTGTATCTATCTATCTATCGGTCTATCTCTCTCTCTCTCTCTCCTTCATCTAATTACCTATCTATCTATCTATCTATCTATCTATCTATCTATCTATCTATCTCTCTCTCTCTCGTTCATCTGTCTATCTGTCTAGCTGTCTACCGGTCTATCTATCTATCTATCTATCGATCTATCTATCTATCTATCTGTCTATCTGTCCACCTCTCTATCTGTCTATCTATCTATCTGTCTACCTGTCTACCTGTCTATCTGTGGTGCGGTGTCATGCAGTGTAGTGCAGTGCAGTGCAGTGCGGTGCAGTGCAGTGTAGTGTAGTGTAGTGTGGTGTAGTGTAGTGTAGTGTAGCGTAGCGTAGTGTAAATGCAGTATTGTTGTTGTAGCTGCGGCTGTAGTTGTAGTTGTAGTGTAGTGTAGCGCAGTGTAGTGGAATGTAGTGTAGTGTAGTGAAGTGTAGTGTAGTGTAATGTAGTGTAGTGTAGTGTAGCGTAGTGTAGTGTAGTGTAGTGGAATGTAGTGTAGTGTAGTGTAATGTAGTGTGGTGTAGTGGAGTGTAGTGGAATGTAGTGTAGTGTAGTGTGATGTAGTGTAGTGTAGTGTAATTTAGTCTAGTGGAGTGTAGCAGAGTGTAGTGAAATGTAGTTGTGTAGTTGTAGTTGTAATGTAGTGGGGTGTAGTGTAGTGTAATGTAATGTAGTGTAGTGTAGTGGAAGGTAGTGTAGTGTAGTGTAGTGTAGTGAAATTTAGTGTAGTGGAGTGTAGTGGAGTGTAGTTGCGTAGTTGTAGTTGTAATGTAGTGGAGTGTAGTGTAGTGTAATGTAATGTAGTGTAGTGTAGTGGAAGGTAGTGTAGTGTAGTGTAGTGTAATGCAGTGTCGTGTAGTGGAGTCTAGTGTAGTGTAATGTAGTGTAGTGTAGTGTTGTGTAATAGGGTGTAATTGAGTGTACTTCAGTGTAGTGTAGTGGAGCGTAGTGGAGTGTAGTGTAGTGGAATGCAGCGCAGGTGTAGTTGTAGTGTAGTGTAATGTGTTGGAGCGTAGTGTGGTGTAGTGAGTAGTGGTGGTTGTAGTTGAAAATGCTACAAAACCCTCACGTTTTGCTCACTTTTGACAAGGTGCACAATCCCTTGCGTCTGCCAGGCGAAACGACATCTGAACCTCCAAAAGTGGTCCGAACCCCTGGTGCTTTGTCCATTTTGACTTCGAAATGTGCTTCGCACCACAACGGCGTCCTGGTGTTTTTTGCATTTTGACTTCCAAATGTGCTTCGCGCCACAACAGCGTGCACTTTTTCGACATCGCCACTTCTAAAAGTGGTCCGAACCCCTGGTGCTTTTTACATTTTGACTTCCAAATGTGCTTCGCGCCACAACAGCGTGCACTTTTTCGACATCGCAACTTCTAAAAGTGGTCCGAAGCTGGTGTGCTTTGTACTTTTTGACTTCGAAATGTGCTTCGCGCAACAACCGCGTGCACTTTTTCGACATCTCAACTTCCAAAAGTGGTCCAGAGCTGGTGTGTTTTGTACATTTTGACTTCGAAATGTGTTTCGCGCCACAACGGCGTGCAATTTTTCATCTCTCATCTGGCCAGATGGCTCCGCACCCGCCGCTTTAGCGAGCCTACTTTTCGACCCTCCGGAGCCACAAATCATTGGAAAAATACAGTGTTTCGCGACTTTCCTACCTTTTCGCGCACCTGCATCTTATTTTTTCTCACTCTTTCTCTTCTCTGATCTTCTCTCTTCTATTTTTCTCTTCTCTCTGACTCTTCCCATCTCTGCTTTTCATCTGTCCATATTGTCGAAATGCATGATGCTCAACTTCGACGAATCAAATCTTTGATTTTTTTCACGTAATCACACATCACAGTTCCTATGCCAAGGCAACTGCTCCACGGATGCTGAGAGCAATGATGCAGCAAACCTTCCACAACAAAATTTGCCAAAACCCAAAACCCCTCTGCCCGGCACAAGTGCAGAAAAACCGTGCAAAAGGAACAACTGATGCTACAATGTTCAAAATAAAATGATGTTCAATGATTTTCTTGGGGGTGGAGGGCCAGCCATGCACATGCGCACTCCAACAGACGCCACGCACGTCAAACGCAGCCGAAGCCTGCTGAAGGCCTGATCTCCAAGTTGCCGCCCAGTGGCAAGGATCTGACGGGTTTTTGAAATGCATGGTGAAACATAGGACATCATGCAGTTGTTGTTTTTTTGTGTTTTTTGCATCTTCGAAACAAGTTCATGCTTATCATGGACACAAATAATTCCCCTATCCACACATTCCCATCTGAATGAGTGTCACCAAAAACAAATCTACACAGAATCTCACTCCATGCCTCCTCTGACTGCACTAAGACACCCTCCAGCCGTGCGTTCACCAGCCACGCTTCCAACTGCAATTGTCGCCAGTCGCAAAACGAAACCGGTAAGAAAAAAAACAAAAAAAAACAAGTCAATCCATGTCAATCCGTACTTCCCAGTTCCTTGGTGACTGATTTGTCATTTTTTTTCAGGAAAAGTGTTGTATTGTATGATAAACCGTGCATACACTTGCAAATCTGTGTGCAAGTGTGCGTGTGTGTGCGCGCCGTGTTCCATTGACACATGAGGCCTCATCTATGCCGTCCTGCGTCGCAGATACCTCAAAGTTCAAAGCATACAAATTTGCCCCACCAATCCATTTCGCAAATAGTTGCCACAAAAATCATAGTCCTAGATGTCTCAAATGACAACCAATGAATTTACGTTTTACAATTCTTCTTAACCCACCAAGATTCACCCCAAATGCACTCCAAGGGCTTTACTTCCGGCAAGTGCAGCGCATGGCCATGACGAATTGCAGTTTCCATCATGAAACCAGGCGCATTCTACCATAAACTGAAGCAACCTGACTGATTGATCACAGAAACTGTGATAACATTCGCTGTGAGTATGCAAGCGCGGAAACCTTTCGGATTTCATATGTGCGACCTGCCTTTCATACATTCACACACAAACCTCACACCAATTTTAAAAAAAAATCACTGAAAATAACAATGCAAAGCGTGAAGTCAAGACCAACTCAAATCATGCAAGTTTTTCCTCCAGAATTTGAGAAAGCAACAGCTGAAGATGAACAAACACAATGCAAGCAAAACCCGTTAGTGTGAAAACGGGCTAACATGCAAAACGTTGGATGGGTGCACGAAAACTGGATTCAATGATGAAAGAATTTTCCAGTTGAGTACACTCGTAGGGCAAGGTAAATTGTTATTCACCCAAGCAGGATTAACACAAACACACATAATCATAATGCAACCGAATTTTGAACACTGCATCAATCCTGTGAAGAAATAATCATTCAAAAATCAACGGAAAAAATTAAAGGTTGTTTGAAGAATTGTGTTTAAAATTTATCCGCGATCCATCTGCAAACCTGCGGAAACGTTTACATGTAACATATTTCATTTCGATGCGCGATGGTTTTATACTCAGACGCATGGAACAACAGCAAGAGAAAGGCCGTCATGCTTAAGAAAAACGAGTACAAGGGGGTTGTCAAATGCAGGTACATTCTGAATGCGTTCTGCCTGTAGCAGCGTCTGATTGGTTCACATTCTATGACAAAAATGATGTTTGGAAAAATGACCGAAAAACCGACCCAACAAAATTTGAGTCTACACTAAAGCTGCGTTTTTGGATGCGACGTAGAGCGAAGAGTGGCAATTTCCAAATGTTGCATTAACTGTTGTTCTAATGTTAAATAGATTCTTATTTGTTTCTCGAGGAAACCGGTTGGGTTGGAAGTTTCCACCTTATGACCTATAACCTTAAGTGCGTATTCACATGTAATACTTATTAATTCAGCATGTACAGTATACATATGTCATTCATATATATATTATATATAGTAAAGACATGTACACGCTGCAACGAGAGAATCGATCGCCAAAATTCCGTCTTCGTGAAACTAGTTTCACTTCACGATCATTCACTCTTTAAAAAAATTATTTCCTCGTCGGAAAATTCTTTTTCAAAAAACGCGTGGCCAAATTCAACATCGAAATCGCAATGAACTGATGTAATGCAACAAGCTGACGCAAATCACCTTTTTTCATCGGAGCAATGGGGCAAGTGCGATCCCGTTCAACCGTCAAACGGCTGAGGGGTAGGCTCATAAAAAGAAGAAACCTTCCTTGCTTGAAGCATCCAAGGTTTCAGTAAATAGGGGCGGGAAAAACGGCTAGTTTGGGCGGGTAAAAATTCACAACCACTCGAAAGTGAAGTGAAAGACCCACCTCACCCACCCTGGTTTGAGGCGAGCACGGATATAAACATCATCATGTTTATGTGGTTTTTGTCAGGTTGTTTCTTTGAAACTACCAAACCACTCAAACCAAAAAATTCAGAGCCTTTTTCTTGTGTTAGAAAAACGTGAAAAGGTTTTCCTTCTGAAAACAAACATGGTTTCACGTTTCATTTTCCATGTGGTTTACGCACAGGTGAGAAACATAGGTGAAACAAAACTTACCCAACCTAATTTTGACCATTCAAAATTTTTCCTCTATTATACAAATAATGGGATCATCATTTCTTTGAAATGAGTTGCTCCCTTATTTGTTTCTCGAGGAAACCGGTTGGGTTGGAAGTTTCCACCTTATGACCTATAACCTTAAGTGCGTATTCACATGTAATACTTATTAATTCAGCATGTACAGTATACATATGTCATTCATATATATATTATATATAGTAAAGACATGTACACGCTGCAACGAGAGAATCGATCGCCAAAATTCCGTCTTCGTGAAACTAGTTTCACTTCACGATCATTCACTCTTTAAAAAAATTATTTCCTCTTGTCGGAAAATTCTTTTTCAAAAAACGCGTGGCCAAATTCAACATCGAAATCGCAATGAACTGATGTAATGCAACAAGCTGACGCAAATCACCTTTTTTCATCGGAGCAATGGGGCAAGTGCGATCCCGTTCAACCGTCACCCCACTTTTCAGATTTGTACTTCTGACATTGCTCCAAAAGGTACGTTCATTTGATGTCGACTCTGTTGATGCCTTCAGCATTCAACTCTGTCACATCAAGACGACTTGGCTTGTCGGCTATGTTGCTGCGTGTAGGGACGCTAGCGAACCAAACTTTCAACTGTCCATTTATTTCATTTACAGTAAAAGTTCGGGCTATCCAACTGCCAGAAACACTTTGAGTTGATCCGCTGATCAAAGTTGCTCTCGCCGCTATCGGCAGCAACTCAAGCTCAAACACGGGGTGTTTTGACTCCTTCGCAAGCTCCATCTGAAAAACATACCAGGTTCGCAAATTCGCAGACATCACCCTTGTCCAGATTGTTTCTATCAGGGTGCGCATTTCCAGTACCCGTGACTCACCAACCTTTGGTCAGTCCCAGGTTCGGCTGACGGCGCTAAGTCAAGAACCACTCCCAAGGCTTTTATCTTCGTGGCCCAGTTGACCGCTTTCTTTCCTTCTGTAGCGAAGCCAATCCCTAGCATCTGAGAAAGGCATTCAGCATAAACCTCAGCGCTCTTCGAGTTGCTTCTTCTGGACAAACTAGTGTAGTCGTCAAAGAAGCTAGTCCAGCAAAGTCGAAGCCCCTTGATCCCTAGAGACCACACTGCCGTCGACATCCTCAAAAAGGTGCTGTGTGAGCCAATGGCTCCGAAGGGTAATGCATTAATTCCTAGCAGCCGAACCTTCTGTACATGCGGGTTCCAACCAACCAGCCACCAAAGGTCTCTGTCAAGCTTTCTGACTTCGTATTGTCTATAAGCGCTTTTCAAGTCACACGTCTTCTCAACTACCTCATCCATTGAGGTCTCAGTGAGATTGGTCAAGCACCCGACAATATAAGAGGCCAACTCGTCAATCGCATGCACCCTCAACCGTTCACTCACTCCGCACGTAGAGTTGAATCCGCCAATTGTGCACTCGCTTATGAGTCGCACCTTTGCTCCTTGACGTAGTCCGGACCTTTTTGCTAGTAAATGCTTGGGGGTGTCACACTCCTCATCCAGCCAGGTCCATCTATCGCTTAACTCTCCTTGTGTTTGCTTCCAAACTTCTTCTGCCAGTTCAGGATCACCATTTGTCTCCACTTGTTTGCAGATTCCTCCATTTATGCCTTTAGCGACTTTCAATGCCGCTTCGGTGCACTGGGCTGGCCTTTTGAGTCCAACCTGGAAAAAGTTCGACTTCAGCAACCACCCCGACAAAGGGAATCCTCTTATGATCTCATCTACCAGCGTCTTGTCTGGGTAGTCGAATTGTTGAAGCATTTCTTTGAATACCTCCAACCTTTTCCTTTGCAAAACATGACGCAGGTGCGGCTCAAGTTTTTCATGCAGAGCTTTCTCCTCGGGTTCCAATTCTTTGCAACGCTGTGACCAAAATTTGAAAAACTGCACCCTCTCTTTCACCACCACGTGGGGGGACTTTTCAAAGTTCTCTCTCAGCCTTTCCATGATCTCTTGGTTCAAATGCAACGACCTTGAGCTGGGGTGTCCCGTCTTTGCAGCTTGCGCAACGAAATCCCAGGGTTCCCTTGGTATTCCGTGCAAAGCTCTGCCTGGGATTGTTTGCCCTCCAAGTCAAAAAATTCTTGTAGGATTTTGTCATCGGGTTCCGTTTCTTTTGTCTCCGTCTGCCAAAAAACTTTTGTACCATCGACCCGAATTCTTCCCCACTGTAGCTGTCGATGTACGACTCTGGAGCCTTTGGGTTGTTGTTTGAAAAAACTGTTGCTTTCAGGTTCCAACGCTGGTTCACTCAAAAAACTGCAGTAAGCTTGGAACTCGCTGACCAAAGGCCTCATTTTCTTGCCCTTACAAAAAGCGGTGAGAGGGTGGAAAACGTCTTGGGTGGACCACCATCGTGTCTTCTTGTTTCTTGTACCTCCATGCATGCAGTGATGGAAATCGACGCTGAAGCCAACATATTCTTGTAATATCTCTGCTATCTCAGGGTAGTCCCAGAACAGTGAGTTCTCAGGATTTTCCAGCAAACAAAGAATTTGCCATTTAATGCGAAACTTTATGATGTCAGCAGTGGCAGAGTAAACGATGTTGACTGCTTCCGTACGTATTTTATCCAGTCCTGCTAGGTGGTCTGAGGGTTTTGCATTCGACCGCACTGGCACGAGAACTTTGAAACCCTTGTTGTGGACACTTACCAGCTTCTTTTCTCGAGCTTTTGAGGCTGTTTCAAATGTTGGGGCCAAACGAGTGGCCAATATCCTCTCCTTTTCAGTCTCCAACAAGGTCTTGAGCACTGCAACTTCTTCAGGGTTGGTCATGTCGTAATTTGCTATGAAAACCTGGGAGGCTCGGGCTGCAGTCTTGTCTACTGGCAAAATGCCAATTCCATGTTCTCGTGCAATTTTGGACAGTCTTGCCGTCCCTGCTAAGATTTCCACGAATAATAGCTCATGCAAAGTTCTGCCCATGAATTTCTGGTCGCCTTTGGCGTGTGTCATGGTGAAATTCTCCTCGTCATCAACGGATGGAGCTTTTGGTACTCCCAGCTGTCTTGTTTCAACTTGCGCTGAGGGTGAAAGGCCATGCTGAGGTTCATTCTGAGCTTTCGCAGATAAAACCTGTTTCGCATCTTGCAACTTTCTTTTTAAGAATGCTGCTTTGTCTTGCTTCTCCACATCCGTCGATAGTCAGTTTGATCTGCACGTGACCAGACTGTGATTATTCTTGTGACATTTTATGCAGCTGTGCATCCCTTTCTTGCAACGCCCATTGTTGACCTCTAACTTGCATCCACTCTTTTGATTGAAAGCCCAGCAAATTGCTTGTCCGTTGCTGTCCCTTTGTGCATACTCTTTCAACTCTGCTG